TGGTCTAAAACATTCTGAGTGTGCCTATTGACTTGGGCTGCTGGTGAAGCTTTCCTGATAGACCATATAAGCACTATCACTGAGTACTGATTACTGAGAGTTGTTCACGATTGTATCGGTTGACAAAACCACTTCGGGCCACGAAGCGGCTGGGCGGAGCTTGCGCAGCCCTGGCGCGGCAGTGGCCCGCCTGCATCAATATTACTTTGTAGGAGGTATGGTCAGAGTTGAAAAATACTACTAACACCTGTCGGAGACTGAGAGTATTATCCTTTGAGTCACTGATCTCGCTTTCGTACATGGTCTGCATTGAAGTGACTTCTTAGTTCTCTGTGTTTCTGTGGTGTAATGAGAACTCCAAGAGAACTCGCATGACTTTTTCATGTACGCGTGCCATACAAATAAAACAAGAGGACGTAGGAACGGTTGACAATTTAATAGAGGACAAAGGACCAGGTCGCGCCCGGAGGGCAATCGTATTGTCCAAAGGCTTCGTCAAGGACCGATTTGGAAAATGTGGCGAGAACTAACGCCTGCTCATATCCTCGCATCAAAGCGCCGGCTTGTCGGGTTCTGTTGTTCTCGCTTTTGCTGCCAGTCCTGGCAACTTCATAACGTGCATTTTGTTGACTCTTGACAAAAAAAAAATGTCGATCCCCGGTAGACCTCGCTTCTCCAACCCACACCATCTCATACAACAATCTGAGCTCGTGTCCCGCGCGTCACTGGTTGAAGACGGCATCACTGCTGGGTTTGAACATTGCGATGATTCCAAAAAAAATGACGAGGAGATACGTGCCCTTGAGGAAATCGTTAAAAGTAATCTAGGGGATATACTGGAACGACCAAGAAAACGGAGGAAGATTGGTAGGAAGGAAGAGGCGAATGTTGCTGAGGCTCTCGAAGATGTGGCGAAGGTGCAGGAGGGGTCGACCATCATTGAACCGGCGATAGCTTCCTGTGTGTTTTATTTGTGCTCAGAATCTTATTGTACCTCGGATGATCAAGCCATACTGACTTTATGGAAATAGCATTTCGCCTTGTGGGCAGCACCCTTCCGCCACGCCCGATATGCCTCGATCCCCCGCCTGTACCTGAACGAATGTGCGTCCCATTCCATTCCTTTTCACGAATTGCTCTCTCTCGGGCCTGGAATCTTATATGGTTCGACCTTGACTATAGAGTATGGGAACCACCATGCGAAGACACAGATGGTGAAGCCGAAGAACGAGCGTCAAAGGCAACATCAATAGCAGTCGACTTTTCCTGGTTGATCACAGAGTCAAGGAAATCTTACACAGTCAGTTTATCTGGATTGTTATCTTCGCCAAATGGGATGTGCTGAACAACGGCTATTGACACTCTGCTCTCTAGCCTCGACCGAACGAAGAACGCAAAGTCTTCTCCGCACACGCACATCACAGACTCTCAGCCGAGCCACCGTCTCTCGTCCTCTTCGAACATCCGAAAGGCACATCAAGTCCAACGCTTGCCCCCACGTCAACACCTGCTGCAGAGAAAGAACATTCGCAACATCCAGTCCTAAAGCCTTCGCCACACGAACCTAAACCTCATTCCTCCTCATGCCCCACTATCCAACTCAATTCTACCATCTCGGACTACTCCACGCCTACCTTCCTTCCCTCAAGCTCTCGAAAACGTCTCTACCACTCGCACTCGCGCTTGCAACTCATGCCCTCGACCAACGAAGCGACATGCAAAAATAACAAGAACAAGCATCAGCGCAAATGCAAAGCAGCCCGATTCTGGCGACCCATATATGGCTGGGGGGGAAAGAGTCTAGGCTACGCGATGGGCTATGAGGGCAGTTCAGCTATCGACGCCGATGATGACGCAGGGGGTGCGTATGGTGGGAGGACGAGAGGGTATATCAGGGATCGGATGAAGAAGGGCGTGCAGGGTGAGGTTTGGGAGTCTGGCTTCGACTCAGGATGGCGGTAATCAGTAACGTGTTGGGTGGTCTTCCAACTATGGCCAGAAGACCTTACAATATCACGCAAGCGCGCTGGTCGGTGGAGTTCTGTATTGGCGGAAACGCACGCGTTGTCAAGAATCATCGGTACGCATCTAGATGAGTGCAGTGCCATACTTTTTCAGCTGGTCAGATTCGAGCGCGAACCAGCGTGCAGTACTACTAGGTAAGGGCTGTAACACAAATTATCGGGTCCCCGCACCTTTGGTGACACTTTCTTTCTCATTCCCTTCAAGTCGCAGCCGTACGTTCCGTCTTCAATCACTTGCTGTCCTCGCATCTCGCCCGTGGAGCCAGGCCTATTCTCATGTACTCAGGACTCACTCAGCCTCGGGGCTGCCGACAAAGATAGCCTGCAGCTGCGAAAGATCTTTCATCGTCTCGTGTGTTACCTGCCATAATCTTCTGAAGATACATTCACATATCAAGCGCCTCCCTACGGAGATTCCTTTAGCGCCTGAAGTCTGACTTGACCAGAGAGATCCGACTCTCTAGCTGAAACGCAGGCTTTCATTGCTTGTCACCCGCATCTAGAGTGGACTCGCAGTTTATAGTCCACAGGAACCACTGTTTTACTCTGCAGTCCGGTTTCAAGGCTAGGCTCGCAGCATCTGGTCTCCTGAGTCTGCTGCCTGACAGCGTGCCCTACTATGGTGTGCTTTAGAACCAACGGCGGCCAAAGGACGGCCAGGCTTCGAACCTATTTTCATTCTCTTCGTACTCTACTAATATCGAACATGAGACACCTTCGTTGATGAAGACGGTGCGCCATTGCAAAGCATCGCCAATGCCGGTGAGCTGCTGCATACGAGCTATCCGAGACACACTCATCGATACTTCTGACAGTAGTACGTCAAAGAAACAATATTTTCATAAAGTCACGCCGTGTTACCCAGGGCACGGTGTTCCACAAGTTTATTTTTTGCAAATGACTATTCAGCGTGTCGGTGCTAGGTAGGGGCCGGGTTGATGAAAATCTTAACTCCACTTCTGTCCATTGTGGGGCTAGCATGCAGCCACGGCTCTCTAACGGCTGGGTGATGATCACCCATTGCATGTATCCACGTTCGATGTGGCTATGTAATCTTAGTCGACGCTCGGAACAAAATGAGGCATACACGGCTCAATCTTTGCACTGGTCGGTACATGAAAAACCGTTGCACTCAACATCAATATCGTCCTTGGAGAATATCGCTTGTACGTGAGTGTATATATAGTGAGTTCCCGCATTTCCTAAGTCTTCATCCCCTCTTCATTCGCAACACTGAAAGCTAACGATGCAATTGTTTCTCGTCACCCTTTTCGCGGTATGGGCTGGTATCTCTCCTTCAGCTCCTTGAAATCTTCCCTGATCTTTCTCTCCCAGATCGTTACCGTCGTGCGGGCAGCAGGCCCAGCCGCTGTTCCCCTCGGCAGTGCGGGAACATTCGTTGTTCTTGCCAAGTCGGGGGTCTCCACCGTACCCCAGTCAATCATCGGTGCGCATTGCCTCTACGTGTCTGCACCTCTCAGACTAATGGTCTGAGGTCTAGATGGTAACGTCGGCGTGAGCCCCGCGGCATCCAGCTCCCTTACCGGATTCTCTCTCATCAGGACCGGTACATTCGCAGCCTCACTCCAAGTCGTTGGAGAAATTTTTGCCGCAGACTTCACATCGCCGACCCCAAGCCAGCTGACCACCGCCGTCTTAAATATGCAGACAGCCTTCGCCGACGCCGCGAATCGTGTTAATCCAAACTTCCTCAATCTAGGCAGCGGCAAGTTGTTCCGATTGCCTCAAAACACGACCCGCTGATGCTGATGATCAGATTCGCTCCTTGGACTCTTCTGCACACAGGTAACATCGGTGGATTGACGCTCACCCCTGGCCTTTACAAGTGGACCAACTCCGTCTCCATCCCATCCACGCTGACCATATCTGGCACTTCGTCCGATAGTATGTCTTCTGCTTCGCTTGTATTTTATTACCTCTCACACTCCGTCGCACACAGCATGGATTTTCCAGGTAGCAGGAGGCCTCTCCTCTGCTGCAGGTGTCAGAATCAACCTTGCTGGCGGCGCTAGTGCGAGCAACATCGTTTGGGTTGTTTCCGGTGCGCATTCAATCGATTGACCATGTCTTGCCCTTGTTCCCTCTATCTGTGCGAATGAATAGCGAACTAATATCGTCGTGTTCTTGATGTTGCCCAGGTTCCGTGACGCTCGGTAGCACTTCTCACTTCGAGGGCATCTTGCTCGGCGCGACGTCTGCAACACTCGAGACGGGAGCGACGATGAACGGCCGTGTGTTGGTGCAGACTGCGGCGGCACTGCAAAAGGCGACCCTCATTCAGCCTTAGTTGAAATTCCCATGCCTGATGGCGTACATTAGTCCCACTAATCTACTCTTTTGTACCCACCCCGATATCAGTACATCGGCTTTGTTTGCGAGCAACGTAGCTGATTTACGGACGAATAACTATGTCTGCACATAAATATCAAGCAAATCTCGTGACATTATGAAACAGAAAGATGGAGAGGGAGACTGTCATATGTGACCCACACTGACGTACCCTACCGGAAGTACCAGTTGATCCACGGCAAGAAGAATGGTCAAAGCCATGGACAGGGTCGTCGGGTCGTCTTCGTTTGCTCACGAAAGTTCAGCGTTGAGAGGAAATGTCCCTTCGTATAATCCGCAGGACTTGACCGTTTGTCAAAGCGTACATATCAATCTCTACACTCAGACAACTACGTACATCACTCAAAAGTACAAGAATGACGCATACCGAACAACCGCTGTTTTTTGAGCAACGTCACGTTTACCGGTCAATATTCATCGCCGCATCGTCCGACACATTCCTTCCCACACCTCGCCCAAGTCCACCACCGCCACTCCCTGCACCACCAGCTCCCGAAGGTCCAGCTCCTGCCCCCTGGGCGTAGCCAGTGCCCCAATTTGGAGGCGGTCCCCCGCCTCCACCTCCACCAGCACCGGCACCGGTAGGTAACACACGCATCGTACTCCCTTCTGGCGCCGTACGCAGTCCCAACCCTAATCCACCTCCAGCAGCAGCAGCCTGTCCCGCTCCTTGCGCTTGTCCTCCCCCTCCAGGTCCTACCACCGGCTGTGGCAAGAGCCCCAACATCCCATTGGCCATGACCCCATAAACTCTCCCTCCAGGACCCGTCCCGGTCCCCGTCGGGCCTACACCACCTCCCTTAGCCGTAAACCCAGCAGGAACGATCGGAGGAACCCCGGCACCACCCGCAATTCCTCCCGCACCCTTCCAGTGGCCACCCGCATTTCCATTCCCACTCCCTCCCGCTTCGTCTTCCTGTGCTTTTGCAGCCTCGCGCTGCTGGCGGAGGTATCGTTCACGTGCTGCGACGGCTTTCATGCGTTCGGCGAAGAGGGCGTCCGGTGGGATGGAAGGACGTTTTAAGGGGCCGAAGGGGGTGAAGGAGGACATGGTTGTGGATTCGAGAGCGAGATTGAGGAGGTCGAGGTGGTGAGGGTTTAGGGGGTTTATGGAGAGGGCCTAGATGGAGATGATGCGGTTAGTTGCGTTACTTGTGGAGATGTGTGGATGATCTGGTGGAGTGATTGAAGGAGAGCAAAGGTAGACATACTTCATGGTATTTGACGATGGCCTCGTGCACGCGATCCATGAGGTGGTACACAAGACCTAAGAAACCAAGAGCTGCCGACGAACGACTGTCGATCTCCAACACTTTCGAGTACGCGACTCTGGCTTCTTCGAGTTGACTAGCCGCAACATGTAGGTTCAATTAGTAAGAGTATTGAGGAATATTGTGGTGATAGAAGGAGGGGAAGGTGACTACACACCCAAGCTTCCGATGACACGTCCCAAGATTGAGATACGTCGTGGCCCACGCAGTCTGTGATGTCTGCGTCACCTTCGCGAACTCGATAGCTTGCTTGAACATCGTCACGGCGTCTTCATATCTGGGATATCATGTTATTAGAAAGGGCCTACGACTTATATTCGACACGATGAACCCTACCTTCCATGGTTGAACGCCATCACGCCCCTCTCGTTCACGAGTAATGGATCGCCATCACACATCGAATGGGCAGCATTCAGAGCTTCATCCGCCTGGGCGTAGTTGGACAGGATGATGTGTTCCATGCCGACGAACATAAGGGGAAGATGTGACCTGCCAGCAATATCGAAAAAGGAACGTTAGGACAACGAGAAGGGAGAGTAAACGGGAGACGAAAGTACCCGGTGAACATCCGCGCGCAGGTCGAGTACGCCGTGACAGCGTGATCGTGCTCTCCCTCATACGCGAACGTATGTGCAAACGCGATCCACGCAGGTCCGAACCGAGGATCCATCAGCGAAGTTTTACTGCACAACAAATACTTGTTATATTGGTTTTTTCCGCGCAAGGAAGGGATGGGCAAGTCTCACCTGAAGTATGTCCTCGCGTCTGGATATTTCTCTTGTGTAAGGTACCAAACACCGACAGCATACCAACTAATCGCAGATTCCGGTTCTCTTTCAACAAGCTCGTGAGCTAAGACGAAAAGGTGTGAATGTAGATGTTTGAGATGGTGCATGCATGCTATGTGTAGCGGCATCGTCGGTCCGTGAACAGATACAAGACCCAATATCCTACAACAACTCAGTCTCTTCAGAATGTCTTTATTGGGTCGTCAAGTGCGAGCTGCCGTACCTCGAGGTAATTGTGAAGCAGTCCGCCCATCTGAATCCAGCATAGAGCGCATCCGCAAAGCTGAACAGAATGTCCGGATTATCGCCCAGCCCATACTCTTCCACGAGTTTCCGTCGCACTAGGGTATGCTCCTCCGCGTGCTTGTATTTTCGTAGGCGCGCTGTGTATATGAGTCGTATAAATTCAGAATCTTCGGGCGTTTGGGTCTTGTAGGCTAACGACTGGACGAATTCCCACTCTGCAGGGCACACAATCAGACAATGAATGGACGAAGTACGGAATGAGAATCACCCTCTTCCACGGTCATCATCTCGCCACTGACGAGTTGCTCAAATGCGTCATAGCATTTGACGTCCAGAGCGAGGGCTTCCATGAAGCAGGCCTTGGCTTGGTCGCCGCGGTTCAGTTTTAGCATAAGTAGGCCTCGAAGGTTACACATTGATGCCTCCACCTGGCGCCAGAAGAAGTCAGAATGGAATAGCATGGATCTTTCGCGAACATTACTTACTTTGATGCCCCCGTCTGTGTTGGCCACTGCGGGGCCACTTCTACCTAAATAATGATTTAATTAACGCAAATCCCCCGAACTACTGAACATGACCGCACCTGATTCCCGGAAAGGATTCGCCTCGCCCAGCATCTCCGTCGCCTCCGCCCACTTACCCTGCCTAACTAGACACTGAGCCGCCAAGTACCTACACACGACACTCAGATCAACCAGCCTCGATACTCCCTCCTGCTGCTCCGCCGCCACGTCTATCATGGCCGTAGGTCCTACGGGCAACCTCGGCTGGGTGTGGCTTTGAGGGAGATGCGGAAGCGGATGTGGTTGTGCATGTGGATCTACCTCGCGACCCTTGCCTTTGATGTCGAGGTTGGGGAAAGGGATGCCCATGGTTTGGGTGTGTGTGTGGGCAGGTGCGAACATCGAAGTGTCGGCAGCAGGACGAGGAGAACCGAAGCCATTCATCGTCGGTGAGTTGTTACCTGCATGAGCTGATGGTCGATGATGCGGTCGATGGGCGGGGAAGGGGCGGGTGAGGAGACGTTCGGCGCGGGAGTATTGATGTGTGGTGAAGTACGTCTGGGCGAGCCAGAACGCGTCGTTGGGATCGTCTATAAGGTACCATATAGTAAGCACTAGGGAATAGCCATCCAAACAAACCACACACTTGTCCACGAAACGATCTTGTCTCCCCAAAACGCAGCAGTGTCGTACAGGTGCTGCATGAGCGCATCGTGCCGCCACAACCTCATCCTATCCACCATTCCCCACTCAATCTCCTCCTCCTCCTCTTCCTCATCCGAGTCTCCAAACACGTTCGTGTCATTGGCGAGAGGGTGTCTGCTCGCGCTTTCCTTGACGCGTCGACGGCCGTGGGGAGACGCACGAAGAGGAGATGTGGCGAATATGGACCGGTTCGGGTCAAGGTTGAGCGGGTCAGGGTGGTCAGCAGTCGATGAGTTTGCGTCAAGCAAAGAGTTAACGAGCGACTGTGGGCCGAAGGAGAAGGATGAGTTTATGGACGAGCGTGGGTGGCGTGAGTGGGACGGAGAGGGTAGGTGGGGTATTGGAGGTATGGCATAGTTGTGAGCTGGTGTGCTAGTCATTTTTCAAAGTATGAGGTGGTAATATCAGGTTCTGAAGAATGTAGCACACAAAATAGTGTCAATTGCGAGTATAATATCCTTGAGCACCTGGCTAACTCACCTTCGTCGCCACACTACTCTATAGGTCGTGGTGGCACGCGTCAAGACGCGTGTGTGACAGAGAGCGCGCTTTGTCCAGGCTGTCACAGTACTTTCAAATTGTGACTAGTGCATCACACTCCTCTTCGAGGGATATGTGCAAGATCTAGCCTTAACGATTTGTTTTAAAGTCGGAAGACATCCGCGACATTCCATAAGATCACTTTGCGCAGTCCTCACGACTTTAGACGAGGATTCAAAAACAATTTCTCCATTTCGCATGCCAATACTTATGTGCTCCGTATCTAGTCCATCTCAACGCACTCCAATACAAACGTACATTCCGTGTCCTCCACCAACATATTTTACCAACCCAAAGCTCAGCATCAACTTATCTCTCAGGTAGCACTGCCGAATATCTGGTACCTCCTGCAAATGCTAGGCCCAATCTCGTCGTACTGCGCCTTCGTGTGGCAAGACGTATAGAACTCGGGCTATGCGATTCGGAATGTATCAGCCCAGTTTTCACTCAAGATGTAAACAGACAAAGAGCAAGGAACTTACGAGAGATGCGAGCAGAGAGCCACCGAACCAGACGGCATACCGTTGACGTTTGTGCGAGATGACGTCGACCTCAACACCGGACGACTGCGAAAGGCAGTGGGTCAGTTTTACTCAGCGAGTTTGGGTTTAAGAAGCTATAAACATACCCTTTGAGCACTACCGCTAGCTACGGCTACGGCCTCCAGTCTTCGGTCGACGATCTGCTTGAGGTCACGCTTCAAGCGTTGGCCGAAGTGCTGGAACATTGTCGAGCCTCCAGAAAGGACGATGTTCTGTGGCAGATTTGAGCATGCAGATCGGGCGTTCATGCGATCGGTAGATACGTACCTTGTACAGACCACGACGAACATCAATTGGCGATGCTTGGATGACTCCTTCTACGATCTCGGGAAGTGGCGTCAAAAAGTCGGACGAGTAGATTTCGGGGTTGAAGAAAATCTCGGGAGCAAGGAAACGCTCGTAGCCAACATCTACACCATATTTCTGTGGCTGCATAAGCACAGCGACACATAATAGAGGAGAGACAGACATACCCGCCCCGTGACAGAATGCTCCCCTTCGAATCTCTCGAAGTGCTTGTATGGCTCCGCGTCATACTTCCTAAACTCCTTCACGATATCCTGACACACGTAACTGTAGTTCTCCTTCACCTTACCAGCGACCTTCAACTGATCTTCAGGAGGCACAGTGGCCATCTCACCACGCTCACGAAGGAGGTTGAGCACGAACTGGGAGATATCGCGACCGGCGATGGGTATGTGTTTGATGGCTGAGCCGATGACATAGCCTTCGGCACAGGGAATAACGTGGGTGACACCGTCTCCAGAATCAATGACGGTTCCAGTAAGAGTACGATCTGAGACGCGGTTGGAGGACCAGGAGGCTGCGAGGGCAAGAACTGCTTGGACAGCGATGTAGAGACCTTTGATGTTGAAGGACTCGAAGAAGATTTCTGCGGTTTGTTCACGATTTTCGGGCGGATTAAGCGGAGGTTCGGTCTGCATCACGTAGAACATGGGTCGGAACAACTCAAAGTGCGAAACACAGGAATATACGCACAAGAAGGAAGTAATGATCCTCGGGCTCTGCTCGCAGATACTTGAAGATCGTCTGCTCCCAATACCGCTCCATGTAGTCCCAGTTATCAATCTGCCCATGACGAATCGGATAGTTCACGCCGTAGCCTGGAGTTTTGGCATTCGCGAGAGCTTCGTCGCCGATGAAGAAGTCGAGGTCCTCAACCCCGCGCTTCGATGCAAGATGACCTGGCTTTGAAGGTACAGCGGGCCCTGCTCGACTGCCCGACTGTGCGGCTGGTCCGCGAGTAGCAATTGCGGTTGGAAAGACGCTGAATTGCAAAACGACCGGCAAAGATTAGGATACTTATGCATGTCGACGATACACCGGAATAGGGTGCCATTGGACTTACAAGGATGGGTCCGAATTCCCCGCAAACCTGCACAACGCTCAGGATTAATGGATCTGAATTTCGTCAAAGATACAGATGTCTTACCCGACTTTCGAGTATCCAGTTCCATTGTCACAAATGATGGGGGCCAGGAGGGCCATGGTGAAGGATGCGGTATAATGACCGGAGATGTTCGCCCCTAGATATTCACCTCGTTGCGCGCCTCATCTGTTTGTGGTTGTTATGGATGAGCGCCACACCGCCACAACTGCGACTTGAGTCAAGTTTGCGCCTTGGTACAAAACTCATCGAATCGGATCCGTCTCAGCTAGCTTGGGTAGTATCTGTTATTATCTTTCTTGATGCACGAGTCAGTTTCGTGAAGCCTGATGCTTGTCTCTCACTACACTCTTAGCTCTCTTCAAGTTGCTTATGCATAAGTAGTAATCCTCATCCAAGCAGCTCTGTTCTTGTTGTCTACTTCGTGTTCTTTCTCCGCCTCCCATCGCTCAATCAGTCTCCAGCACTTGATCGCGGTTCTCTAGGGTTCTCCTGTGCACTATAAAACAACATTACTCCCAAATACTCAGACAGGCTTTCCCTGCTGAATCACGCGCAGTGATATATTGTCTCCTCACCTGCATGGTATACCTTGGCATAGATTGCGTAGAGTCAAATTAAACAGGCCGGGTCTTCTTCAAACTGGTACGTATCACAGCCGTAATCAAGAACTTGGATTGGCGCGTACTGATTCTAATCACACCTTCCCGCTCTTCGCTGCCATTAGGGCTTATATGTTAGTCAAAACTTGGAACTTTTTACGAAAGCTCATTGGCGGATCGGACAAATCTTCCGCCAACGAGTTCCAAGTAAACTTGAAACATATAAGGTCTATTAGACACAGGATCTACTAGTGTCGACGTATCTCATGTTCTGATTGTCAGACATGGATATTCAGTCACTTGATGTCGCCCTGGAGGGCGCCTAACCCTCCGACCCATAGCAATTTTGCAACGGGTCTTCTCTCAAAACGCCTCGATGAATCTCGAGAACAGAAAGACAGTCTCACGACCGTCGGCCATGTCAATGACTCGGATGGGAGAATCGATCTTCGTCCTTATATACCTGACTGTCCCGGGGCGTCTCGAAAGCACTCACTGTCTTCATTTCTCTCTTTCTGATCTCAATAGAATAATCTCTAACCGTTTTACTATCATGTAGCGCAACACCGTTCATTCGCGGTCCACTCAGCCACAGAGTCACGAATGGAGCATCTTCGGCATGGGCTCAAAGTTCAGACAGCGATGCAGCACCCTCAGGTGTGGGCAGCCTAAGGCGAGTCGACACTCGTTGCAAGCTTCATCGATCTCGGGGATTGACCTCGGGCTTCAAGACCAGCAGGCAATCGAATGGTAGCAGCCTTGTTTCGGTGATTCTGAGCTCGCTGTCAATGGCAACTCTGTCCGAAACGACATGCATCAAACACGCAAATTTATCTGTTGGGATCGTGCCCTACGTTGATACAGCCTTGGTTCTCCGGGACTTGTCGCTGCGGCTGAACGAATTTCCGAATAGCCCGTTCTCTTGTACCGCAATGTTCAAATCCCAGCGACCTGCATGGGATTACCATCCGAAGTAATAACTTCTCAGCAGGAAGCTACAGGAAGGGGCCAAGGTGATGTGATGGGTAAGGGTCGAAGTCTGTTTAGGCGCTTGGTTTCCTTAGGTCAGTTCCGTGATGATGATTCCCGCACTTTGTCATTAATTCGCCCATCTGAAAGACGCTCTCTTTGCCCACTAGCATCGTCTGAAAAATCAAATCCAGGCTGGGCAGTTCGATAAATACGTGCCAGCGATTTCATCCGTACGCCCCTCATTTTTCTCTGTTCTCTCCCTTCTTTCCTTCAAGAATGGCGTACCAGCCCATCTTCCTCTCTCGATGCGACGACGGCTGCTTCGACGCATCTCCGGGAGGGTTTTCAAGATGCTGCTCATAACAGCGATATTTGTCGTCATTACCAGTCCGATCTATAGATTTCAGTATTGGTCGAAGCCGTCTGGACTACCTGGCTCGCCTGTGAACTTCGGCAATGGGCAGGACGGGGTATTGATGTAAGTTCTCTAGCGTTTTTGTAGGTGCTGCGACAGAGAGACATTCGATATCTAACGCTTACCTTGTTGAAAAGTGTAGGTGCCGTGGAGTCGGTGGACACAACGAACCTGCAGGTCCAAGTAAGCGACTTCCCCTGGACCCTTCTCTCTCGGGATTCTGACGAGACTTCCACTAGTTCATGTGGGCAATACTTGGTTGTGGATCAGATTACTGTGCAGACTGTTCCACGACACACGATGTGGCACTCTATCTCAGTCTGTCGCGGTCTTTATGGACAGGTATGTGCATTATCATCTGTAAAATTCGAGGCTTATTCATGAGTGCGCGACTGTACAGCGACACGGAAGGTCTCACATTCACCAACGGAACGGGAGATTATGGCTCCACAGTTGATCTGACCTCTGTCAATGCGGCAGCGACAATTTCTGGCTCGTCACAGTCCGACGGATGGAGTTCAAGCGATGTTGTCTCGTAAGGCAGCGTCCTGTTTATGTCGAAGGATATTATACTGACCTCACGAAGTAACCACACAGCCGGCAGAACAGTGTACCGTTTTTTAACAGCGTCGAACCCGTTGACTTTGCCCAAGTCATTTTAAACAGGTTGTCAGCAGGTAACGCCTTTCCGCTAGACAAGTGTGTGGTCTATCTCCCAAGCTCTCTGAAAGTCCACATCCTGACAATCATGCGAAGGTACCAGATCTTTTCGTCTTTCGTCGTGGTCTCTACTGCGACGAGCTCGACCTTGCCCGTGACAGGAATCGTGCCCTATGTTCTCATTGGCAGCGGAGACTCTTGGAACTTGGATGTCTCCGCTGTCAATGTCACCAGTGCACCCGCTGGTATCAGTTTGAGGATGAGTCGCCCACAGACGTTCATCGTGTTCGTGGTCGCTGTCTTCGTGGTCAATTGTAAGCTCGAGCTCTTCTACTTCGTTTCCGATCAGCACGTCGTAACCGTAATTCGCAGGGTGCATCACTCTTGCGGTGATCATGCTCACTGTCTGGGTCATCCTCCTACGGATCTCTGACCAGAAGTCACCCTCGGAGTCTGGGAATGCCCAGAGGGGCATCGCGTCTGCTCCCGCCAACTCGAGTGGATCTCTAAACGAAGACGAACCCGAACAAGCCACTCAAGAATGGAGATCAGTTCCCTTGGAGGTTCTCTCTTCATTGCCTCTCACAGGTACTATCCTCATTATTATCTTTAAGGATGAGATCATATTTGTGGACTGACGTCTCCTTTGTAGCCTTATTCTCCATGCCTGCATTGCGCACCTCCATCAACTATCCCATCAGTGAGTTTCATCTCGAAAATCAGTTTTCCTTCCACCCACATTGACCACCCTTTTTCATACAGACGTCGCAAGCGATGGATCAGGATTTATATCCTGCATTGTCATAGTCGCAGTCTGCGTACGTATCCAAAATTTGCTCCACTTACTGCGCCCATCTTCTCCGTTAATCGCATTATATCTGCTCCTTTACCCGTTCGCAGACCGCCCTGATGTTAGGCATGCTTGCCCTCAACTTGACCTGGATTAGTTTAACCTCCGCTCGCAAGTTCGTTCGCACGAATACGCTGCAGGGTACACATCTAGAAGAAGCCCATGCACTTGAACCTCTACGCGATCGCAGGTCGCCAACTACCATGCGTACTTCTCCATTGCATATGAATTACAACAACAAATGAAACGGATCTAGGATCTGCTGTCACAAAGATTGTGTCGTCACTGACTGTATTTATATTGGGACTCCGGGACTCGTAATCGAGAGTGGGGCACATTTCGCTGATGCGAGAGTATACAAAAGAAGCAGAGCAAAGTAAGACACCGATATCCGTGTATATAACGAAGCGTCATGACACAGCATCAATACGAAGAATTTCGTCGGTCAGGCATGGATTCTCGTACACATGTCTGGGTCTACTAACCCTCACTCGACGGTCGCTATCGCGGCACCGAGGAGAACATCAGCTTGAATACGGTATTCTGGAACGAAAGTAACCTTGGTCTCTGGACGGAAGATCAAGCAGTGAGTCGATCCTCCGAAGTGAAACATTCCAATCTGGTCCCCCTTTGCCACCTTCTCACCCTCCTTGACGGTCACTTCACAGGTCGACACCTCCGCCATCCCCACAGCCACAAAGCACATCAGCCCGATGTCCGGATTGTTCGCCTCGATGAACACAAGCGCACGCGCGGCGACGGCGGTGATGAATGCCTGCGAGTCGTTCGCTCCAACAGGGTCAGGTCCATTGGGATCTCTGAAGCCCATAGCGGGCGATTCTGCGTAATATGTGCCCGGGATCTGGACAATCTTCTTTATTGATCCGTTGACGGGGCTGTGCCAACGATGGTATTTTGTTGCGCTAAGGTAAGCTTGGCAGATTGTACCACCGACGAACTGACTGGCGAGTTCGTGACCGCCCAACATATGCTCGAGCGAGTACGGCTCGCCCTTGAGCCAGAAGCAGTCATGCTCCTTGACGTTGTACTCTATCTTGTATACAGTCGACTCGCACGCACTGTTGATGACGTTGTCGTGTTCTGGAAGGGCGAACGGGCGAACTCCTGGGCGGAATAGGCGAGTGAAAAATTCGTCCCAGGAAGTGAAGCCGTAGTGTGGCGCCTCTGGATTGCAGATGAAGGTCTCAGCAAAGTCTGGGATGGCGATAGAAGCGCCAGGTCCGAACCAGCCGTTATCCTCGCTGGTGAGGACGTAGCATGACTCCTCCGACAAGAGGAATGCGGACCAGACGTCAAACATCTTGTGGAAGTGCTCGTTAACCTTCTGCAGGACGAAGGTTCTGAGTCCAGCGTCCGTGCCCATTGGCCTTGAAGTATATACGAGATAGTCAGTCATACGAAGGGCATACTTGAGATTGTAAACTGAACTTACCATTCTAAAATGGCATTGATCGGGAAACCAACAAAGTCATTGTCTTCGAACGCGGGCGCTTCACGAATGATTTGGTCGAAAAGCTTCAGCATCAGCTTATAGTCACGGACCTTGAAGAAACGTTTAGACCAGCATGCATTGAAAAAGAACAAGATACAAAATGGCACACCTGGCATTTGCCAGTGGGGTCTTTATTGTAAGGAGGCTTGTGGGGTACTTGCTCGAACATCTCGTGGAAGCCCACGTAAACGACCGGGTCCTCTTCGATGAACCTTTGGAAGTCTTGTATGACGGGAGCCAGAGGCTGATGGGTACGCCACTTGGGGTGGTCGACTTGGGCTATCTTTTTCGCCAGCCATGATTCGAGAACGGCCTGATCGTTGGGAAGCCATCCGCCAAGCCGATGTTGAACGAACTTCGTCGACATTGTGGTTCTATGTATACCGGACTGTATATGGGCATCATGAGAAGGTATAGATGTGGTGAACGTCGGGTAGCTTACTAGATACTAATATGTGGGGGGATTTGAGTGGGGAGGACAGAGAGACTGGTCAGTATGGATGGAGCGTTGCGGCACGATTGCTAGGCATATATATACAGCTAACTATAAATGATATGAAACAGTCGTACTTCATCATAGTGACATGCGCATGGAGACTTACAAGGCTTCCCTTCATGTTATAACTGGTGTGGCAAAGATACGAACCATTGTCATGATGCAAAAAATGACAGGAATCGCAGACGGCTCGAAATATCTGATTCATGAGGCCGCCTTCGTCGCTAGATTGCGATTCCAGTGTACTCGCCATATTACTTTAGGTGATGAGCGACCCCACTCGAATCGTCACAAGGACCTCGTACTATTGCCAAGACTGGACGTTTCTCGGCTTGTCTCTGCGCCTCTGTTCGGAGGATAACGGCACTGTTCCAGAGCAATGATCAATTCTTACCTGTCAAGACGTGGAGCTCCTTCTCGTAGACATTCCATGCATCGACCAGGTTAGAGATCAGCTAGGCTAGTGGAGAGAAAATGACAAAGAGGAATTTGTCTCCGCAGGTACCGTGTAGACGTCGACATACGGTGCAGGGTGACGGGCGTAATGTCAGAACAAGACCTGGTGACCCAGGACATGAGCGGTTGAACAGAAATAAGCAGGGATGTATCATCAAGCCATTAGGGTATTGTAGCAGGGTCCTGGTCTAATCGCATGAGTGGAAGCTCACGACTCCTCGATTTCTTTTCTACTATCATCCGATGCCGCACGCCTTAAGTCATCCAACGAAATTCCCGATCTCTCACACATACCACGAAATATACCGCCCTCGACATGATAAAGATTCTCAGGGGTGTCAAGCTCAGCGATTTGACCGGCATCCAGCACGCAGATCCTATCATACCCAATGATAGTACGCAACCGATCTACGGAATCCGCGTAAGCCATCGTAATCTTATGTAGAGGAATGGAACGTACGAGCAATGCACAAGATAGTTCTGTCCTGGAATTCAGTCGCTATGGTCTTTTGAATGTTTCTGTCCGTCTCGTAGTCTACTGACGCTGTGGCCTCGTCCAGGATAAGAATCTTGCTGTCCTTCACGAGAGCCCGTGCGAGGGAGACAAGCGAGCGCTGACCCACGGACAGATTCCCACCCTCTTCGTCCACCTTACTGTCGAGATGGAACCGGTTCGTACGTCTTGTAGGAGGATCTGTGCCACCGCCTGGATCGGAGTCCGGCAGAGCATGTTTCGGGTCGTCCGCGAGATATGACCGTCTGAGTGCGTCCCAGAGCTTCGCGTCGTCGTGTAATCCGAAGGGATCCATATTGCTACGCAGGGTTCCGGAGACTACCCGACTAAGATCAGAGACGAAGCTGAGGCACAGAGTACGAGGATGTATGACATACATAGGATAGCATCTTGGGGGATGATGGAGAGCGCGTTCCGCACATCGTACAGTCCTAACTTCGAGATATCCGCACCATCAATGATCATGGAACCGGACATCGCTTCCACGATCCTGAAGAGTGCGACCATGATCGATGACTTTCCAGCACCCGTGCTGTAGCAAGTCATATACGGAGGCCATTGAGTCAACATCCTGCCATGGGTCTGAAGTAAAATTGATCATACTCACCGGCCCACGATCCCTATTTTCTCGCCACTCGCGACTGAAAGAGTAATTCCTTTGAGCACAGGCGGCAGCTCGGGTCTATACTTCATAGCTATACTATTCAACTCTATGGTTCCTGCAGACGGCCAAGATGGCGGAGGCTTATGATCAGCAACTTCATGTGGCGCCTCTTGTTCGACCTTTTCGGCGTAATAAACGATACGCTCGACCGCATTCATATCATTTTCAACTTGAGCCAATTGACGAATGAGCCATCCAAAGGACTGGGGATCGATAGTTGACGGAAAGTGTGCGGGTTAGAAGAGATCATCACGAGGCCAGGCAGAGGTCGACTTACCATTTGCACTTGTAGGACATAAGAGAGAATAAGACCTGTCTGAGCAGGAGATATGGTGAATCGAGTTCCGACCGACAATATTGCAACGACGAAGGTGAGGATTGTCCCGAAGAAATCCAAACGCATGCCAAGCCATCTCTGGTGTATCGGAAGTCAATGTTGATGTGAGCTCAGAGTTTTCTGAGAGAGGAAGGACAAACCTGGTTTACTGTGGTTAACCAGTACGCGCTAACGAGCAAGGGCACATCAAAAAAAAAGATCAATACGACAGCGAGCGTAATGTACTCACCGATTTTCAATATCGACGAGCTTTCCATTCTCTCGATAGAACCTATCGAACTCTCCATATGCACGAATGGTTGCAAGACCAGCTAAGGACTCAGAAAAGTGGGAGTACAAGGAAGAACGTAAGAGGGCATCTAGACAACATGGACGATAAGTTATGCATTTTGTCACATTTTACATCGTGGGGTGTAGTCACCTAAACGCTGGTTTGTCGAATATAATCCATCGATCAGAGTAGTCTGTGCCAATAACTAGCAATAAACATACCTGAATCTCAACAGCGCTGGCGCGGTAGTACATGGACGCCATGGCATACAGCACGGCACAGACAGCGACTGCGATGAGGAACCACGGGAGGACGACGGCAATCAAGATGAAAGCTCCGATTACGCTGGAGGCCATAGTAAGAAACGAGCTAAGCGACGCTGATGGTAAAGCTTGTGAGACGGCAGTAATATCAGAAGGAAAGCAATCGTCCCTGAGACTCACACGTGATGACGTTGTCCAACGTGTCTACATCCTTAGAGAATCGGTTCATGATACGGCCAAGAGGCTAGAAACACCAAAACAATAGTCATGACTTTGGTCAACGTCGAGAAGGGTATCCTTCAACGCACAGTGGTCTCGAAGAAGGACATTGGGGCGTACATGACTCTTTTGAGAGCATCCTAGATAACATGTCAGGTATTATCTTCATCACAAAGAGAATTTGACGAACATGATGCAGTCGCTGAGCTGCAAAGTAAATGGTAAATGCGGTTACTATCCCCATGACAAAGTTCGTCAAAGCCTGGCCGACACCTAGTGCGGCATAAACGCCCATCTGTTTTGCGAAAAAAACAAAATGAGCGACTGAGATGAGTGGACCGTCTAGGATCAATGGTCCATACATAGAACCCCGTGGGCCTGTTCCATTTGCTAGGAGGAGGTGAGCATGGTTACTTTTGACGTCATGGTATAGGTGAAGCGACGAACTTTTCCTCCCAATACACAAGCCTTAGTCATAGTATCAGCATGTATACTTCAATGATCACCCAGAAATTGAATTACTGACCAATATGAGGACATTACCTGCGTCCCTTGCGTTATCACCAGCGTGAACAACAGAACAGGGACGAGGAACAGTCCATTGCCCGCTCTCAGGAATGCCTCATACACGCGCCAACTAACTTTGCCCGTATTCCGTTCTTCCTCTTGCATAAACTGCGCTCCTTTGACTACCTCCTCGATTTGTTCGTCATCTTCGGCCTTTTCGCCCTCCATTTCAGACACAGCGTCCGACTTCTGTTGATTTCCTCTCTCGTGCTTGGATGAGAACTCATGGACGAAACGCGAGAACGGACCCTCGTTTCGCGCCATAAGCTCGTCGTATGTCCCATGTTCGGCAATTCGGCCATCCGCGAGCGAGTAGATGTAGTCAACTTGAGGTAGAAAGTGGAGGGCATGGGTAACCAGAACGCGAGTCTTCCCTTGTGTAGCGTTAAGTAGAATATTTTTGAAGACTGACGTGCCGACATGTGCGTCGAGGGCGGAAAAGGGGTCCTGGACGAGAGCGGTCATTCATAAAGTTGATGGGCGAGAGACAGAGACTTACGTCAAAAATCATGATGTCGCAATCTGAGTAGATGGTGCGTGCGATACTCAACCTCTGCTTCTGTCCGCCAGAAAGCGAAATTCCTGCAGACGTATATCAGCTCTCTGGACGACGATCTAAGAGGTATCACGATTCAGACGTACCCTTCTCCCCAACTTCAGTCAAATCCCCATTCGGAAACATGTTCAAATCCGTCTCCAAACACGCATCTTTGACTGCCTTCCAATACCTATCGCTTTCGAAAGGCCTACCAAAACATACGTTTTCCCTGATCGTCGCATTCTGGATCCATGCAATCTGCGAGCAGTACCCCACACTCCCGCCGAATTTCACAGTCCCATCCGTCCGCCGCATTTCACCTATCAAACTCTGGATTAACGACGTCTTTCCAGATCCAACAGGACCCACGATAGCTGTTAGGGAGCCGCGAGGAATAGAGAAGCTAATGTTCTGAATGTCAAAAGCGCGCGTCTCAGGTTTTGTGGTGCCAGCTGGTTCAGTGGTGTCTGCGGGGCCGACGTCCCATGTGAAGGATGCGGCCTTGACTTCGACTGCATTTGGGAGAGATGGTTCAATAGCCAAGTTTTCGGTGACGAGTTCGGCTTCGAAGACCTCTTGGAGGCGGGAGACTGCGTTCTGCGCATCTGCGAGGAAGCCAAGGGACATCGCTAAAAAACGAAATATCGAGCGATGAGCACAGAAGACCGTAGATGAAACAATGTGGTGCGAACTCACGAAGGATAGTGAGCGGGGTGCGTAGGAGATTGAAAAGACTGAGAGATGTGAATATATTGGCGGCATTGAGAGAATGGCCTGACGCCGCGTAGACGAGAAAGGCGGCCATAGCGGCTATGGTAGGCGTTGACAAAATTAAGGCAGTGTTGGCCGCTAGAATGAGCTGCAGCGATCTGGTATATCTGGGGGGGGGGGAAGAACGGGAAGATGATTAAATTAGTGGTTACATGTCTAGCGCATGGATTGATGAACTAACCCCATCTCCTTTCGTCTGTACTCTCCAATCCTCTTCATCATGGGAATCTCCCAGGTAAAATACTTGATAACCTTCATGCCTCCCAACATCTCCTGTAACGTCTTTACTCTTTTGTCCGTCCACGCCATGATCTTCCCTCTCATCGCGATGTAGCTCGTCATGAACACTGCCTGAACAGGCGCCAGGAAGATATAGACTGCCAGACCTGTCAGAGCACTAGGTCCTAGGTTCACCAGCAGCTGGACGAGAATTACGATGATGGATATGGGGGCGGTCCAAACGAGATGGAAGTATTGGCAGCACGAATCGAGCCGGGTGACATCGGTGGAGATGTGGTTTACAAGACGGCCTGTGGATATCGTGGCTCGCGAGCGGTTCGTCAGGCGTAAGGAGCGTGAATAGATAGCCGTGATGAGACCACCGCGAACCAGGACACCGGATGAAGCGGATCGGTAGTAGAAGTGGTGGTTCGCGAGGAAGCCGATGGTCTGTAAAGCGAGGAGGCCAAAGGCGTAGCCGATCCCTTTGCCGATGGAAGGAGCGGCCTCACCAAGTTGATGCGCAGTGAACGAAAGGGCGACGAAGTTGATCAGAGCCTAGGGAGAACGAATTAACTGAATGCCAGCAACACAAGAAGAGTGAAGATGGGATACTTTGATGAGCAATGGGCTGGTGATTTCAGCCATGTCTCCGACGATCTTGAAGACACCGCCCCACCAAAACCAAGCACCGATGCTGTCGTTCACCGATCGAGCCAGGCTTGGTTTCTTTGTCTGTGTGGCTTTCCATGCCTCCGTCTTCTGCTCCGTGTTTCTTGTCAGTCTCCACCACAGACGTTTGCTGGCCGCGGGTTGAATCTCGCCGCTAGCCAATTGTGCATTGTAGGCCTTGGCCTTGGCCTGACGAGCTTCGAAGGAATTGAGGATTTTGTCGGCAATGACGGCAGACGAGCGGTGGTCCTGCAATTTCCAGAGATCGGGTGCTTCGAGTGGGCGTGCGAAGCCGAGTTTCATGAGAGGATCAAGCCAGGCGAAGGTCAGATTGCTGAGAAAGCTAGCGTGCATTTCGGGAGTGTAGTCGGCATCGTCAACACTGGCTTTTGGAGGCGGAGGGTCGACCGGGAAGAAGTAACCTTTGACGGATCTTCAATGCATCGTCAATATAGATACAAATCGCAAAATTCGGAGAAGAGACTATGTTATGACATACCTCGCGACTCTTGTCCGGACCGAATGTGACAGGGTATCTGTTTCATAGGGAGGAGGATCAGCACCTCCCTCTAGACCTATATTGACCTCAGCGTCCTTCTCCGTCTGTTTAGGTTCACGTGTGGAGGAAGCGGATGTAGACATGATGTAGTGAGGGAGCTCCAGAGAGATACAGAAGGTAGTCGACGGAGGCCAGAGAGCGAAGTCACTTATACCCTACGTTCGTGAGAGAAGGCGTGCCAGGGCCTTGCCTGTGCTCCGTGTGCGGGACTGCCGCCTAAGGATGGAGTCACCTTCAAACCGAGCACCAAGTTCGGAGCCTTCAAGTTTCAAGTCTTAGCTGTGCTGAAGAAGTGTCCATGAAAGTAGTTGACGTGTCCCCATGCGCCATTCATTCTCGCCTATTCCCGCACGGCCTAAAGGAACCGTCCCGAGATGACTCGTAATCGCCGAAACAAGCGCCGGCGAACTTCAACTCAGTAACGGTCAAGTAACGGTTGTGGCTGGAAATATACAGGGTCAATGAGCACCGAATCAAGTCAAAAAAAAAATTCCATAGGTATAGATTGTGCAGAGGATGGAACATCGGGACGCCATAACACAAGTGTCTCGCACACTGATGATGCCACGGTGGGGCACGCCGGCGAAGCCTATACTGGTTGCTCTGCAGTCAGTGCGACCGGAGAAGAGATATTATTAAAGCTTGGGGTAGTGGTTTGAGCATCCGGTAATGTGGGACCTTATTCAGAATTTGGAAGGATGTCAGCATTCAATCTATGGTCCACCTACTAAACTAGACACTTCTCTTGGGCAAAGAATGGCCGTTTCCTGCGATGGGCCAAATTTACCACATTCACTTGGCTCGAACATTGAGTGCCGCTGCTTAGCGCTGAGCACTCATTCACGGCATCATGGCGCCAAAATAATACGCTTGGCACTTTCGAGCAAGGAAGTCACAACCTTGCCATCCATTCAAGGCAGAACCGTATACTTCTCCGCCACTGAACAGCTGGCGCTTGCAAGTACTCTTGGAAATATAGAGGAATCTGCGGCTCTCAATCCGACTACCCCATAAACTCCCAGTTGTTCGTCCACGGCCCCTCCACCATTCGGATTGCACGAATCTTCGGGCCCGGGCGCTATCCTGCGTCGAGAAGTGGCGGTACGTCGTTCTGTGTTTTTGGGGCTCCACGCCGCTGATGTGCCATCGTCTCCGTCGGGTACAAGGGCCCATTGGATCCATTCTCCAATCGGGTAATCCAGAGCTTGGATACATTTCTTGATAAACGCTGTAAGAAGAAGCGGAGAGTTGGCCGGCCGGTTTGGATCCTTAGGAGGGCGAGGGGAGCAGATGACAAGGGTCGAACAATGCCTTTGCTTTCGGAGCATAGGACCACATTCAGAAAGCTGAACACGCTTTGGGGCTGGTCTAATTGCCCCTCGTTGCAAGCATAAGTCATCCGAATGCATTGGGTGTAAGTCAGGATACAAGGCGCGAGAGGACTTACCAGCATGATTTCGATGTCGGGGATATCGATATTCTTCGAGGTCGTTGTCTTGGTCTGACATGCAGTACAGTTGCTGTCGCCTATGCGGGGAGAACTGACTACGGCCGATCGCGAAATGGGACCTAGTAGCAGGTCTGTCTCGAAGACAGAGAGACTGAACCAACTTGGTGAATAATACCCAATGACCCCATAATTATTCGACGGCCAGAAGAGAGGTTTCCATAAGAATGCGACGGTTGATGAATACGCCGAAACGATCCCCCTGTATGGGGAACAAAATGACGGTTGTATGGGCGGGCAGTTGTGAGGTCGAACAGTGTGGCTCTCACCAAAACGCTTTCCTTTTTGACAGAGAGACAAGGGCGTATACCTGTGAAACAAGGATCGTGAGGTTGCCAAAGTTACCAATGGACCTGTCCACAAGAGAAGCTCCTGCTTCGCTCAAACAACCTTCTTCTCAAGAGTCTGAACACCATGAGCCATTTTGCTCCGATCGGGAAGGATGGCAATTTCGATCTTTGTCGCCAGAGTGTTTGTACAGACCTGAAGCCTGACTTGTAGAGCTAGCGCGAGAGCTATTGGAACTAACGCATGAGTATGGCACGTCAGCTTGCATAGAAGTCGGATTCATGGAAAACTAGGGCCACCCTACGATGATGAAGCCGTACTCCTCCAAAGCCGCAGTAATCTTCTTCTCCGGATAAGACACAGAAGGTGGATGATATAAGAAACATTCATACGATCTAGAGATGGCTTGCACGGCGATGCGCTTCGTGCTGCAAGGGGGCTTAGTATTGTGAGATCCGTGACCATTTGAGGGAAGGACGGCGACGAATGCAGCTCGAGGGTGTTGTATTATTCGGGTGACGGCAGGCATAACTCTCGATACATATTGTATACGTGCAGGTCAGGTTACATGAGCGTTCAGCGCCGATGCTCTGAGGAAGACGGCGGATGGCGACCAAGATCAAACCTGCAGTACAATAACAGGAGACTGACACGCTCGCGTTCGTGCGACTTTGTTTGAAGGTTGGATAGACTGGGGGTCCGGTAGTATAGAAAGATCGCCTCTCGCAGACTGATATCCGGGTCGTCGTGTTGTGAAAGAGAATATGACACGTCGGCGAGTTGGAATGATTGATGTTGAGTCTGTTGACACGGAGGTGGGATCGACATTGTCCCTCGTGTGTGGCATCCCCTGTCGCAACGGGTGTGTGTTCGCATGCACCAAAGTGCCACAATTGCGGTGGGCCACACCGGGCTGATTCGCGGGAGTGTGCTTTCTTCATCCATCGGAGGGATTCCGAGTGGATTCGGAAGCATGCTCCTAGCCGCCGCTCACCACCGAAGTCTCGCGAGAAGGGGGCACCTGCTCCCTCCCAAGTCAATCGCCCTACCAGGCCCCGAGTAGAGGACTATTTGGCTGGGGCATCGTCGGAAGACAGAGGGGTGTTTGATTCTCCTTTTGATGGTCCGCCACCAGTGAAAAAGGCGAAATCGAGTAAGAAGAAGTAGTTGGGTTTCTTCTCTGTTGTCTTCATGCACGGCCATTCTACGATAGTTGTGTCTCATATCCCCCGTCCCGTCGGACATCACTTGAACGTTCGATACTTCTCTTTCAAAATAACAGACAGTATTCTGAGTAGGTACACACTTTCACGGACTCAGTCGACAATTGCTCTTCTTGTATGTATCTACCTACCATACAAAGCGCCCCTGGCAATTTGCCGGCGCTATATAAATTCGTTGAATCAAAAAAAAAAAAAAAAAAAAAAAAAAAAGACACGGAGGTGGGGCCTTTACGTAACTTATGAACTCGAACCAAAGATAAGTTACGAGGTAGATCTAATCTAATCTACATTCTCGTGTCTTCGCGAGCCTCAGCAGGCCTCAGCAGCCTCAGCCTGCTTTCAGCTCTCACCGGCACCACAATCTCAAACTCGCTATTTCCTCTAAAGAGTCCACTGTGTTTGTGAGAGGCAGTACCGATGGTTAGTATCTCTGTTTATACTCCATACAGATTTGCTGACTCTTGGACACTGCAGGCATGTCGTCCTCTGACATCATTTACACGGAGCCGACGCTCCCCCAACTCCTGACCGTGGCATCCTTTTTATACCTTCTTCAAGTATCTCGATGGCTTGCGGATTTCATACTATCGGCTGGTCTGTTAGGTGAAGTAGCACTTGGAATTATCTACGGCTCTCCCTTGGCAGGTATCCTGGATGAAAGTTGGGAGAAGACATGGTTGGTTGTGGGATACTGGGGTCTGGTTCTCATCGTCTTTGAAGGTCCGCGCTCGTCAAAATTCTATGGGTGTCTTGCTTATCAACTCCTTGAACTTCTTTAGGAGGCCTTGATTTTACGCCACAGTTGTTTATACCCGCTCTTCCTCTCGCAACCGTCGCTGCATTCACAGGTGTTCTCCTACCAATCGCGTTTTCGTTCGCCATTCTCTCGGTTGCTTTTGGCTATCCGCAACTTGACGCATTTTCCTGCGTATGTGTTATAAGTATCGGTGACTCTGTTCGGCTTCTCATATCGCTTTCACACATGTTTTGCAGGGTGCAGCGCTCGCGTCAACCTCCCTAGGCACCACCTTCTTCGTCCTTCGATCTCAAACAAGCAAGTTTGACCTGGGAGCCGTGCGCCTCGGTAGTGTATTAACTGGTGCTGCTCTTATCGACGATATCATTGCTCTCGTCCTGTTGTCGTATGTTTTTCGTGATTCAGTATTTCTACCGTTGCTCACTCTGTCAATCTTGCAGCGTCATTACGGCCCTCGGAGAAGGCGATAATACAAATATCGGATGGACCATCGGCCATCCAATTGTGGCGAGCATCGCTCTAGCAGTGATAAGCCCAGCAGTCACCTATTTTATTGTGCGGCCGGTGTATGGACGATTTGTTGAGCGGTTTATCGTTCGAATTGGGCCGAATGCGTTCATGTTCGTCGGTATGTGCGTTCTATGCGCTCACTTAGCCATGTGAGTGTCCAATCCGCAAGTATCATCCGCTCAGTGGCTGATTTCGGCTCCAAACCTCCAGTGCGAGCTACATTGGGACGACGGTCCTGCTCGGGGCATTCTTAGCTGGAGTAATGCTCGCTGTACTTCCCAGCTCCCCTGATAGCGAAACGTATATCTCCATTTTCAAGACGTATGTGGGACCTGTGCAAGAATATGTGAGCCACGTCGTTTCGTGTCCGCTGCGCTCTGAATGACTGGCCATGTTTGCAGATTTTTGCCCCGCTGTTCTTTTCCTCGATTGGTTACTCGTATGTGCTATTACCGGTACTCCTCATACATGACACTGTGTACCATAGTTGACATCCTCGAGCTCTCCAGGATCCCATTTCTAGACCTCTTCACCGCGCGGAGACTTTGGCAAGGACTTGTGTTCTCGATCTTCATGACACTCGGGAAATTACTAGTCGGCGTATGGATTCCGGTTTCTGAGATACGTCTTCGCCGTGTGCCTGCAGCAGCCTCAGAAGACACCAACGAACTTCGTGAACACGCTGGTAGGGAAAAGCCAACAATGACGAAGGTCAATCCCGGCGGGAAGAAGAGGGCCAGATGGTCAGTAATATGGCCCGGCAAGGCGTCGGTGGCACCAGCGATTATGCTCGGCGCAGCAATGGTAGCTCGAGGGGAGATCGGGTCAGTAATTTCTCTTCCATTACTTCCTTCTCTTACTCCTTCTTTGCCTTTATTCTAAACTACATTGCCATGGTATAGGATTCTTATTCTTCAAGTAGCATACGCTTCCTCGCTGAATCCCTCCTCGTCAACCACTGTCATTTCGCAGGACGTATACCTCATCGGCGTATGGGCAGTCTTGATCTGCACGATTGTTGGTCCAGTGGCGTTCTCGTTTGTACTCAAGCACTGTGTAAGCGATCCGCGGCGGTTAGGTATCCTAGTTGGTAGCCGATGGGGTCAGGGTGCCGAACAGAGTGCTGTGAAGCGGGATGGTTGCGCGACTGCCGATAATGAGAGTGGGTGAATGTGACGGGTGGGTGCCGGTAAATGCTCATATACTTTCAGCTTCAGGAGGTCAGTATTTGCGTAACTCAAATTAACGCGGCCCGCATGCTGATATCTTTACACGCAGCTTAGAACTTGGGACCGGTTTTCTGCCAGCTACATCCTTAACTGTATAGTTCAATGTGGCGCTTGCACTTCCAGTGCCACTCAAGCAAATAGATCTGATTGCCAAGATGACGTCATCTTCTGCGAGCGCTTGGCCGAGAGTGTGGCAACAACTGCGTCTGCTTCTCTTGCCTGCATACCACCATCTGGTCGTTCTCCATCTTATTGAAGTCGGCCTTACACACACAGATGAACAAAATCAAGTCTTTTATTGACAAGCATGTCGACAAACATCTGCCTTTGAAGTCATCTCCAGTAGCACATCAAACACCCCCACCTCCAGCTCCCCCCCATTTCATACAAAGCTTTCCGAACGAGCATGACCTCTACCTCTACCGGAGGCAGCACGGAGTGAACCTAGGCATGCCAATTCATTAGCCGTCCTCTTTATAACTCGACCTTACCTTTGAAAATATGAAGGTTCTTGGTTCGTGCTTGAACGCTGGATCGCCGACAGCCCCTATCGCTGCGCTGCTCAGCCCGGACAGAGCGACCTTGATGTCGCCAAAGGCTCTAATGCGAGGGAGATACTAGAGCACCATTGGGACCACTGGATCGTGGAGGATGATTGGAGTTGGATTTCGCAGCGGGGTCTGAACACTGTTCGAATTCCGGTCAGTTTTTGCTCATTCGTGGACATGTTGTGGTGGCCTTAAATCAACGTTGGGTTCCCAAGATTGGCTTCTACCATATATGTGGTGCAGACCCTTCTGTACTGAACGGTACAGAGTTCGCGGACAAAGGCGAGGTATTTGCCGGTGCTTGGTCGAGAATAATCAACGCCATCGCTACCGCTCATCGCCATGGTCTTGGCGTCCTTATAGGCAATTATATCACACTTGTCTTCTCATGCTCAATATTCTGATATATAATTCTTCAACAGACCTTCATGCAGCTCCAGGCAAGCAAAACGCGGATGCCCACTCAGGAACTTCTTCGTCGTCCATATCGTTCTTCCAGTCCTCGAATTTTCAGCGCACCACCCAGATTTTGACATCATTGCTGACACACTTGACAACGTTCACGAGGACTCACAACCCTCCGCTTCCCAATCTCATTGGGATCGAACTCGTCAATGAGCCGAATCCTCCTAGTAACAGTGACCACGATGCGCTCAAGAGGTGGTATGCGACTACCATCGAAGCGATGCGAAGAATTGACCCCGATATCCCATTGTACATCGGTGATAGTTGGAGAGCAGGCGAGTATGCTGGCTTTGTCAAGAGCTTGGGAGCTGGAAGCTCGTCGTCGACGTCTTCTTTTGTGGTATTGGATCATCATCTATATCGCTGTTTCACTCAGTCCGATGGGGCGACACCAGCATCGCAGCATGCCCACGCGCTGCGGGAATCCAAACAATTCTCTAATGACGTCAATACTTTGTCAGAAGCTGGCGCTGGACTCGTTGTAGGCGAATGGTCTGGCGCGCTCAATCCTGGTTCATTGCACGGTGTAGGAGATCAGGAAAGTGCGAAGAGGGAATTCGTAGATGCACAACTGGCATTATTCGAGAGAGATTGTGCGGGTTGGTTCTGGTGGACTTACAAGAAGGAACATCGGGGAGATTCGGGGTGGTCGATGAGGGATGCGGTAGAGAAGGGTGTATTTCCGAGCTGGGTTGGGATGAGACTGTCGAGAGCACCAGAGAACGATGGAGGCAGGAGGGAGAATGCGAAAAATCAAGCATGGGGTTTGCCTTTTCCTTCTTGCATGTCGCCGCGGTGCTGATGTCTTAACTGACTTCTTCTTATTTCTCCCATCTCTGCAGGGGCACATTGTTCTTGGTGGGATACTCAGTATCCGGGCAACTACGAGCATTGGCGCTTTGCGGATGGCTTCATCCAAGGTTGGGATGATTCATACACTTTCTTCTCCCTCTCTCGTGGCCAAGGAGTTTCGGTCTCAGAGATTGGATTCAAGGGCGCGTGGGCGAAGCGGAGGGCAGCAGAACATGCGAGGCAAAAAGGAGACAAAGACTTGTGGGAATATGGTGTGTTTTGCTCATATTCGTTTGTTAGTTGCTTTTTTTTGCTCATGTTGTGATAACCAACAACAGAACATGGTCTTGCGCAGGGCATCACGGCAGCGACGGCGGCCGTACATCAATATTTCGGTTGATACCTAGTGGCTTTATGCCCAGATTATATTATATCATTTGCACTCATTAGACTCGTTGCTTTACTTGCATGACTAGATATGTCCGTTCCCATGAAAAGCCGATCCACAAGAGCCACACCACAGTTCTGTAAGAAAGGGTGCCACTCGCCACCCTAACGGACGGCCCGCTCGCGGTCCGCTTGACCTGAACTAACCAACCGTCTGGTCGAGATCTCGAACATTTGCGACTTGCGCAAATCGTCGACTTTGCGCTGAACAACAACCTACTTCGCCAATCGTTCCCGTCAATCAAGCTCAATCTTAAGCGTTCTACCCATGTCACCAATTACAGCAACCCACAATCCCAACTTCCCCGCCAATCTCGCAATTGCCCCTTCACATCGATACAACCACGAGCTTTCAAGAAAAGACCCAGAAGTTGTGCTGGAATCGGACGTGGATTTGACGTTTGATGTAGCAGCTCAAAAGGCTGCTATCGAGAGATACGGAATTGCTGGCAGAGTGTGGTACGTTCGACTTTTCATCTTGATATTCTGCTAGATCGTACAGGATCTCATCGATAGAACACTCGCCGCCATGTCATACACTGGTCGTATATCCCTGAACACACATTCTATCTAACTGTGGCCCGGATGGCGTTGAACCGACTCTGATGTTATCACTGTTCGTGACTAGGAAGGGAGGCTGCATACGCTCTGATGCTCTACCTGGAAGAGTCGTCATATCTCGAATTCGATCCGCCTTCACCCTTCACATCATCTCCTACTCCACCGTCGACATCGAATATTAGGCACTCATTCAGGATCATTGAGCTTGGTTCGGGGACAGGAATCGTCGGATTGAAGCTGGCAGAGCATCTTGCTCGGACGCGTGCTGGCGCTGCCAATGATCAGGCTGCAGGCTCACGGGGCTCCATGGTCATCTTGACGGACTTGGACGATGTGTGCCCATTACTGGAGGAGAATCTGGATGGGCGAAGGGTACAGATTTACGGCGAGATGAAGGATAGTTTGAGTCTCAGTCAAGATTTTACGGTCGAAATCAGACCTCTCGCGTGGGGAAATTATGAGCAGGCTTCCGTAATTATCGAGAAGATCAGGGACAAGTACCTCAAGACGGACCAATCGCCGATTCCTTTAACACATATCGTCTGCAGTGACTTGGTGCGGTCTTTCGTGATTTTCCACAACTGCTCGCCACACTGACGACTAGATGGCCCATGCAGGTCTACTTCCCCGAGCTTCTGGCGCCACTTCTACGAACACTACTTCACCTTACGTCGCCGCCGCTAGCCCCGAGCTCTGCATCAGACACACCGACGATCATCATCTCATACAAGATACGATCACTATCAAAGGAGACTCCCTTCTGGTCATCGTTCGGACTTTGGTTTACTTTCGAACCCGTCCTCGCTCGGCCCGTTGATCGAGAATACGGGGGTACCCATAACTCGGCCCCTGGCCTCGAAAGCGGAGATGATGATGCTATTGTCGAGGGCAAGCTCGAGGGTACCGGTCATGACGGGTGGCGCCGCTTTGGAGACTCGGATGATGGTGACGAAGATGCGATGTTCGTTTTCATCGCGAAACGGAGGCCCAAGTCTTTTGATTGGCGTATTCCTGATGACGACAAGTCCTTGTTAGAGGGAGTCGGGGCCAGAGGGACGGAGAACAGAAAGGGGGACGACAGCTTCGAAGTCATGTTACTAATGGGTATGAATTGGTGAATAAAGCTTTTATTTTGCTTCGTCCGCACCGATCTCCTACCAGGCAGACTCTTTCTAATGAATGAATTGAGCAAGAAAAGTAATAATCATCTCGAGACCCACCCGACGTCGAGGACATGGTCCGCTCCTCGAATCCTATGCCACTCGATTTCATCGCTATTTCCTCAGCCTCTCCAATCTTCCATCCGATTATCTCACTCCTCTATCTTCTATTCAATGAGACTTGAAGCCGGGAACTACGTCTCGCTCCGCGAATCGCCCATCGAACAACTTGTACGGCGCCGCGTTTTCCTCGTCCACGTCGATCTGTTTCCACTCGTCCATCCATATCCCCTCTCCACCCATCCTTCCTATCCCCACGAGCGGAAGCCTATCCTCCTGCGCTGGGGCCAGCTCCTTGATCACCCATCCCATATCCGTTATCTCTTTGAACCTCTTTAGCCATCTCTCATAGTGAAAGTTGTGTTTGATGTCCCTCGTCGCCGTCTTCAACCCCAAAGCACGCGTCGCAATCATAGTGCCCCAACCGTCCCAGGGAAGAAAAGGTATATCGATGATGTTGATGATCTTTATCATCTCCGATGGCGCTTCACAATAGATGATTAGCATGTCTGCACGCATGATGGAAGCTTCTCTCGCGCTCTTGGTCCTCTCAAGCACCTGCTTCCTCTCCTGCGTCATTTGCTCTGCTAGTTTCTGCGACGCCGAGCGGATAGATCGTATGGCTGCATTCTCGACCCTCCAGGCCATACTGACATTGCCTTTGTATTCCGGACGAATCGACATGTAGATATGCAGGTAATTGTCCTCGAAATCGAATTCGTCGATTAGGTGATCGGGACCGAGAGTGGATTGGCAGTAGTCCCAGATGGCGCTGTGAGCTGCTTGCTCGACGGAACGGCTGTGGATCGTGAACCAAAATCGGAGGATTCGATAGAATTCCTCGGTCATGACCTTGATGTCGAACCCGGATTCGAGCAACCCTGCGAGGCCGGGCAGGCCTTTTATGGCGATGGTGGACCGCAGCAATTCTTCCTGCGCCTTCAGTGTAGGTTTTTTGCAGTTGGGTCTGTTGAGTGAGAATTGCGGTCAGAGTCATGGTCCGAAAATCAAATATGTTGACGACAGACGTACTTGTGCTCCTTCCAAGACGAGACCTGACACTCCTTTGAACAATAAGAAACCGTTCCACATCTGCTACACTGTTTCCACCTCGTGCCCTCGGGTGGACGCTTGCAGCAATGGTGACAGGTGTTGCCCCTTGAGGGATCCGAATAGCCTGGCTTGGAGGTTAACATTATAACGCGCTGCAGGACAATCAGTATCCCAAGTGAGGTTATCAGATGCCAATGGTAGAAGAAAGAGAATTGGCTGTGATCTTACTCCTTGGATGGTGAAGGACCGATGACGGGATGAAAGAGATAATGGGGCGAAAGGAATCTTGTAAGTACTGCTCGAACGAGACGCCTTCATATACATCTTCGGTTCCAGAAGATTCGGCACGAAGAAAGAGACGAAGGAAAGACGTTCCCTTTTGTGTGCTCTATTCTGATGGCTTCAGATTCGTCGCAGATCCTTCGGGTCCGGGCGATAGGGCTATTGTTCCCCGCCATAAGTAACTATGCAGCTACGCTGGCATTCGTAAGCACTTCATGTTCGTCGGTTTTTTTTTACGTCGACTTTATTGTTGCCGCGAAGGGTCCACACATCGCAAAATATAAGCTTGCCACTGTCCATCACTGACTGCATCTTTATAAGTTATTCTCGTGCAAGTCGTATATAGAGAAAATCTGCGCTGTGCCCTAGAGCTGTAAGGGCAGCGATTGCTCCTTTTTCACCCTAACTGTCTTCATCGATGAGAAGAAGTCCACTTGTCAACCACAAACTGAGAAGAACATCAGCATACAACAGTCTGATGTAGAAAAATCTCCTTAGGGCGTTCGTGTCTAGTAGGGACTATAGACCTGTCCCCGGTATATAGAGAAGCACCATTCCTCACATATTCGAGCATCCATAATGTGAAAAGACTTGGATACTAGACAAACGGTTTCAATAGATCTTCAGCAACAGAATGATAGCAGGTAAACCATCTTCGGAACTCACTAGACTTCTTCATGGGAGCTGGAGTCATCTTGGAGGTTGGTGGAAGTTTCAGATATTCGTTGTTGTCATTCGCAGTGTGTCGTGAAGAACCGTCGAAAGAGATGTTGTGACTATGGGGGGGCAAAAAATTAGCATGCATGGGTAATCTGCACTATGTGGGGAAATAATACGTGTAAACACCGTGGGCGTTATTGCCTGTAGAGTCCTCTTCCATGATAAGGCGGTACCAGCCCTTGTGGCACCTGCTAATAGTGGCGTTCGTATAATTCCTGCCCCTTGCCTGGCCACCAAATGCCAAAGAATTCTCCGCATAACCGTCAGGAAGTTCGTAAATCCTATGAGATGCGCCATGCATGCACCAGCTATATATACGGGGATTGACCAATCATGTTCTTGGACACACCTGAACCACTCCTTCGTCGCACTGACTAGCCCCGGGAGAAGCCTCTCAACATCGTTGATGTCCTTGAGCCTTGGGGCTAGAGGGTCATTGATGTCGATGGCAAGGATTTTCCAGTCGATGACTCCCTTGGCGAGGTGGAGAGAAATGGCACCAAGGACCTTGACTTGCTTGACCTGGCCAATATATCCTACTTGTTCGCCAATCTCGCAGACGGCGAGAGGTCCGCCGTCGCCCTTAGACCTCCGCATCTCAGAGTGAGCCACAGTTAGGTTGTCCCATGTCTACACGAAGGACAGAGTTGGAGACGTCCAGCATGATGTGTAGCGATATAAACCGTATCACGATAAGCGATGTTCGAGAGGGAGCGTAACAATTAGTAGGAGAAATACATACCTGAGGAAATATGCCGCAGTTCCAGATGTAGCCATGGTGAGGAAAGCAGTTGCGGACAAAGCGAGGGTGGCCCTTTCTGGTTTCTTGTTCGATTGGGTTCATGGTCTCATCTGTAACTACCATCTTTGCATTGGTCCACCGAGGGATCTCGACGATCATGTTGAGAACGCCTCCAGAATCGCGATCGGCCAAAAGGGGTATATCATGGACTGGAGAGACAACATGGCCGTCCTGTTCGATGAATACGCGATATCCTGATTACGAAGAAAGGTGATTGGTCGGCAAACAATGATAAGGGTAGGTACTCGATGGCGTTGCACGTACCAGGAGTATTGGGAGTGCCGACAACCCGTACATTGTGTCGTGCTTGACGATGAAGGATATTCAGTGGCACGAAAACTAAATGGCAAAATGGGACTGACGAGGAATCATAGTACCGGGTAAGATGCCAGAGGTCCGTGGAAAATTGGTCAGTTGTCACCTGTATATATAGAGGTGACCGGCGCTCCGAGTAAGTCGAGCTTTTGATACGATCGTAGTTGATTGATGCTTTGAGAGCCAGAGCAACAACTATCAAACCACCGATAGTTTGAGTGCAGTTTGAGAATGATCATCATGATTGAGATGTAGACAAAGTGCTCGGTCTGTGCTCTGTACTAAATATAATGCAGCTATCATATCCACATCTGTTAAAGACAAAAGTACACATCCAGCAAGATCAGAACGCAGGACACACCCAATCCAGCTGGAAATCATCTTGTAGTGAACCCATGACGGTGGTAAAACCTCTGGTTTCCATTTTCCAAGTATCCAGCCGTAACGTTATAGTCGCCCACCATCGGATCAGTATATCCTGGTGGCGCGTGAGAGCGAGGCTGCACGCCTGGTGCGTTGGACAACGATATGTTCACGCGTTCCGCAAGGAGCGGTTCATCTTGTGGCGCGGAAGGTATGAAGCCTGTGGCCTGAGGAGGAATGAAGACCATGTCGTACTATGCATTGACGCGAAATGTATGAAGGTGAGTAACGTGAGCACAGGAGTTTGAAGACCAGGACGTACACGGAGTGAGAACCTATGGAACGATATACTTGGTTTCACACTCTTCGCGATGTATATCTCACCTCTCAGTGACCTGACGCCGCCACCCTTACTCTCATCGACATCGCTGTCATTCGGATGTTCGTGGGAATTACCTTGTTCGTGTGGCCAGAAAACCGCGCGGGCCACAGTGGCGGTGAACGTGTTGTTACTTCGTGCCTGCACGGACTCGTCGGTAGCGTGTGATCCAAGGGCGACGGTGCGTCTTAGAAACAAGCAGGAATTTGTGGCGGAAGGGGACGTAAAAAGGTCGAGCGCTTGGGAATCGGAACTCTTCAGGGTCAAGAGGAGGGGTATGGGGGAGTCGACTGCGTAGGACAGCTATGTTAAAACTTGGTTATCTTTCGATGTTCAGTGAAATGGACAAACCGAATACTTACTGGGGATGCGACGGAAAGCTGACATGGTGTAGGTAAGGCTGACATTGCTAATAATAAGAGCATGGAGACTTACAGAGTATTGAACGTTGGCAGGACGTGTGTCGAAGAGCGTACCGCTGACATTCAGCGGCGGGAACACTATCCATCCTTCAGGGTCAGCTTCTGGTCCTAAAGGCGGTCTTCCGTCTTCATATGCGAGTACACATAGCGTCGAAGGGGGTTCAGCAATCGATCGATGGAGATATGCAAGTTTCGCAGTGAGCCTGAGGGTGTTTCTGGGTCAATGCGTGGTGGCTCGAGTGAATAAATACCACTCACGTCTGATTCATGCTCCACATCGTATAACCTTTCTTAACCGTCACAACCAGTTTATAATCCACGTATACCGGACTCGCTCTTTCAGAGAAACTATTTGGCAGCGGATAGCCCGTACTAGTCGCCACTGCGAAGTCCGTGCTGGCTTGACTTGGGGGGTTCGCACTAAACGTACGTTTGTATCTTCGTGCGGATTTGGTGGCTGAGGGGGCGGTAACCGATGAGGGGAAAGTGATGGAGAATGGCCATGTATACTTCCCAAGAAGTTTTGAGGGAGATCTCCCCGAACTATTGCCTGATGGCATCCACAGGATCTGCGTCTCCTCCAAGAATACCTCTTCTTCTTGACCTACAGCCGTCACGCCTCCACACAGCTAATGAATGACACGCAAAATTTCAGTTTGTTGAATGAGGAGTACAGCGGGAATTGACACACTGTGATAGAAATAAACTTGATGTTCTCGGTTCGCTGCAGATTCAGGCCTACCTGCCCCTCTACCTTGTCCCCGTCAAAAAATAAGGGCGACACTTTCTGGTCCGGAGCACGGCTGTTCAAGGAGAGATAGAGCCACGGATGACCCTTGCTGTTCTCCAGCCTGTAAGTATGTCGATAGTCCGCACATGGATTAGATGGTGTTCGCTGTGGAGTTGGAGGCTGGGGCGGAGAAGGGGCTGGAGGAGGTCGTGGTAGTGCCGCGGTCGTGGTCGCATAATCAGGAAGCTCTGGATCTGCCATCTCGCTTTCGCGTCGAACGGGTTGGGGTATAGTGTAGATATGGGGGAGTTAAGATCTATGTCTTAGTGCGCAGTTATGAAGAGTCTCTTCAGGATGTATATAGCACGGTCGGTGTCATGGCCTGTGCACGTAAGCGTGGTTTCACTCTACCATGAAGCATGAAGTTGTGGAAGGAAGCGAATGTTTGAACGGCTGAGAGAGAAGTGTCGCAAGTGAGGGTAATCTGAGGTCGGATACACATGATAAGGCAAGCTATTTCCCAGGGACACATTGCCGTGAGTTATCGTTCCTTGACAGCACTGAGCAAACGGACCGAATCAGAGCTAGAATATGGGTATAAAATTAATCTTATCGCAGCAATGACGGTCTCAATGTACACGGGCTGGGGGTGCACAAGGCCTCAACAGACATTCTGAATCCCAGACACTGCACCGCAAGAAATAGACTTGACTGTCAAGCGTGAATAAAGCGAACGCGTCAACCGAAGAAGCAGATTCACTCACACCACCCTCCGCAAACGGACGCCTCAGAATCACCACACTTCCAGACTTCAAGCACCTACGGCGGCGACCGCCCCTGCCTGAACTACGTTATGCTGAACCGGAATGGGAGTCCGCGCAGGCGGCGCCCCTTCTGGCAGCATTGTTCTTGTCCAATCAGGAATTACGCTTCTCGCTGCACCTCTTGCTGTCCGACTGGTACTGTCTCCCTGCGAAGTTGCCTGTTGGGCGTCATGATCTGCCTCGTCCCACTTCTCTCGAGGGACCTCAGTGCCTCCTATCTTCATTGCACTAGAATTTTGGGAGAAAAAACAGACCGAAGTCAGAGAATACACGCCAACACGGACAGCGCGACACTTACCCAGCGAGTGAGCCTCCAACCCACGCCATACAAGCCGGAGTGAAAGCGGGAGCTTTCCCTGCGTTTCCGCTGCCTTTTGCACCCGTCGGCACAGCAGGTGGAGCTGGATTGTTCAATATCGCCAGGTTGGGGACCAGAGGCCGCAAAGGTGCATAACGGTCGTATACTGGTGGACGCGGTCTGTCTGGGCGCATGGGAGGTCGGATATTGTTGGAGGGCGATGAGGCAATGGCTCGTAGAAGTTCAGCGTGTAGACGAGGGATGAAGCCTGGGAGCATGGCTGTGCCACCAATCACGAGGATCGAAGAGGCGAGGGTTTTGCGCAGGTCGACTGGGACCTACCAACAATTGCCTTGAGATAGTATAATTATAAAGTCTACGATGCGGACAAACCTTGAGTAAAGCATCAAGAATGGTCTCCGCCACGCTGCTCTCATCGACATCACTTCCTTCAAAAAGCACCTCCGCGCACCGTTCTCTGATCCAGCCAGGGATGATCAATGTTCCCCGTCCTGTTCCCGTCTGTTGGGCTACTGGAGGTACGACCTTCAGGTGAAGGTCTGTAGCCGTCGATTGTCTCTTGTAGAGGTTTGCCATGGCCTGTAGGTGACTTTCGCCCCGGTTTGACCTGTCCGGTGGGATCTGGCTTCGTGACACGACAGAAAAGCCTGACGAGCCGATTTGACTAACATCCTCGAAATCAGCCGACCCAACTCTCGAAAAGTCGGACTCGGAAGGGCCGTCACTGGGTGGAAGATCGAGATCCATTGCATCATCGCCTCCCGAGGGCGATATGAGCCTGCCGTCCACCGAGGTATCCATGGGTGGACCGACAAAGCAGCATCGCGTTTTGATGTGCTCGATGACCGCATCGGTAAGGATTTCTTGAGGGACGCGAGACGAGCGGGCAGCAATGGGTATGTTGGCGGCTGCACTGAGGGTAGCTGGGGGTGGAACATAGGTACCGAAAAGAAGGAGCAGAGCACGAAGATGATATGAGAGTTGTGCGCCGGCGAGTGGGGTGGTCCGTAATTGAGGGAATAGAGGACGGGAGGAAAAGATCTAACGTCAAAGTCAGTGTTCACCGATACGCCACACGTGACGGTGGGCTTACGGGAAGTACTGTTGACTCCAACTGGCCGCAATCTATTACGAGACCAGTTATACGCCCCACAGAGAGAAGAGCGAGCAAGGGGGTGGAGGCAAAAGATATTGATGGGATCTTGCCCCATATTGGTTAACTTGGAAACGCATACGAAGAACCGTGCAAAAACACACCTGGAGGTTGTTGAACAGTATCCGGGCCAGCATCTCTTTGATGTATACTGGAAGCAGAGGATGTTCAAGTAATATGACTTTCCGTGACTTCGGATCCGTTAACAACGAACTGCCCAGATCCAATGAATGTGTCAGTTTCGATGCAAGACCTTAACGAACGTAAGCACGCACTCACTCGTGAAACACGCTCCTCAAGCGTTCTTGCAACCGCGCTTCGAGTTCCCTATCCTCTTCCTCGCGCTCTGCAACGTCCGTCGCCCTGTCAAGTGTCCATAGTCGGTCGACATGAAAGACGTCCCGAGGACGACCCTCTCCGCTGAACCCAACCTTCCAGATGTATGACCCAGGATCAATAACTATGCGGTCTTCTGTTCCGTACAGAGAGTGCCTGCGAGTTGTTTGATAGTGCGGGGAAGACTGAACAGAATTAGCAGTAGCCACACGAGCACCAGCTGGTGTCGCGGAAACTCCATGAGGCGTGGATGGTGTTGCGAAGGACGTCCTCGTGCGTGGCGTCGCAGGAAACGGGACCGCCATAGATCAATATTAATTTTGAGTAAAATTCGATGGAAGTAGAGCCTGAACCAGTTAGAAGTTTAACATGCAACTGAGCGAGGTTGTGGTCAAGAGCAAGCGTGGAATCTTGTTGTGGCGTTCAGGACCGTTCAAGTGGCACAGTAGTGCCGCGCTATTGGCCGGCTGCGCGGCTCTCTCATCAACGTCCCCCACGGCGTCGACTGTATCTCGTCCTTCATCCTTATATTCTGTTGAAAATGGCAGTCGCCACACTTGCAGACTTGAACGACGATGTTGTTTTCATCATCTTCTCTTGGATGTCTGTCTCAGCCATTCTTGCCATGAGACAGGTGCGCTATCATTCTTTAAGGCCTAACTGAGCCCCATTTCGCAGACCCACCCGCCCTGCACCAACACCCTGACCATTGAACAGACATCCAAGAACTTTTATGATATCTCGAAGGAACGTATAGTCTGGCAGAATGCTTGTTTACACCAGGTCATACATCGCAACCTTCCGTTCCCGTACCCGAACTTTCTCACTTCCCTGTCACAACCACGTCTGGAACACCTCACACGACGTGCGCTGAGGTTCGAAAGGATATGGAGCAAGGGTACTCCAGAGGAGCCCGAACACCATATGACATTTCAGGCCACGCAGAGCAATGCAGTTTCTGAAGTACGGTTCTTGAGAGGGCATGATGATAGATTTCTTGCTGTGGTTTCTCAGGGTATATGGTCCTCGCTTGGTATTTGGGATGTCGGGGAAGAAGCTATGGGCCCGACAGTTAAGGTGGTGCATTGGGCACCCAAAGGAGCCTCTTTGACGAGTCTTGTCGTTAATACCAATCCAGAGTCTCCCGCCACACTGGCTTTGTCTGTCGCCTCGCCACATCGGTAGGTCATGTCCATGCGCACCGCGAGTGTTAATTGTGCTCAAATTGCGCTTCTTTAGACCATCTCAGATATATATACTATCACTACAGGAGGGAGATCCTGAGAATGATGCTATGCGACTGGAGACGTTACATATCATCGATTCCCCGTGGTCCGCCGTGCTACTGCTCGAGAACCTGATTGCTTTCGGAGACCATTCGTCCACCACTGTTCTCATGGACTGGACTACTCAAGAGAGCGCCACCCTAGAAAGTGCCTCCGACCCCACAATACCTCGTCAAGTGCGTTCAGTCAAAATCAAACCTCGAGAATGGTCGAGTGCTGACAGTGATCTAGTCGAACAAGTGTCTTCAGGTAATCATTCAACCTTCGAGCGACGCGGTTATCGTTGTTCGCGCCCAAGCCATCGATGTGTTTCGCACTCCAACCCTCCAACCCCCATCCTCCAAACCAGCCCTCGACACAAATTCAGAGAGTAGCTCTACCCAGCCAATTTCGAACTCTATCGCTCGCCACACATTCGGATGGGTCGAAAACATCTCCCTTAGTACGCCTACATCTCCGCACAACCCCAACTTCAACGTTCTCGTCCGCAACCTCCGTAACGACCCTTGGGCCCCGGCCATGGACAACATCCACCACGTCTTCCTCGCCATCTCTCCGCCTCTCTCCACCTCTTTATCCAGCCCGTTATTGCCTGATGCAGCCGGAAGCGAAATCGACGAATGGGACGAATTGGCAGATGGCCTGAACTCGCTGTCTTTGAGCGAAGAACCTGCAGAACGCCACCATCACACAATCTATCCTTCCACGTTCGCCACAACTCGCAATCCTCGAGGTCACCTACGATGTCCGACCGTTACCCTCGGCCCACTCGGAACTTACGCCTGCATCATTCCTCGGCCTGCAGGACATCGTGGTCTCACAGCGTTTGATGTGCACGCACAGCATACTCAGACTTCGCCTTCACTCCCGGGCATCGGAGGTGGGGGTGCTGGGAAGGAAGGTTTACAGCTGGGCAGGTTTGGATACGACGGAGGTGGGGCGGATGGCTCGGGAGTGCATGGAAGATGTCTATGGTGGAATGTCAATGGGGAAGGAGAGGGATTCGATCAGTGGACTTCGATGGAGTATGATGAAGCACTGGGAAGAGTGGCGTTGGGTAGTGCATACGGAAGGGTGACGGTCCTTGTTGTATGATACGAGAAGAAGACGGGTAGTCTAGGAATAGGGATCACGGATCTAAGGCCTATGGCGAGTAGGAATTCTCTGATTGGCATAAGTAATTTATGGGTCGAGAGGCCGCTCAACTGACTGTTTTGACTATCAGTGGGCCGTGACATAACTGAGGAATCACAGGCCAGGGAGAGCGCATCAAACCGCCATTCAGTCGCGTTACGGTGTGGTCTGAGCCGAAAAGTATTCCCCAAAAAGCTCTACATAGAAGTTGGTTTAGAAGAGTCGGCAAGGCGCCACCCTCTTGTGTGGCGACCGATGAATTGAAACCCCGCGCCAACAAATCAGAACGAAGGCCAAAGCGCACCACGTGTTCTTACCTTGTACCATGTTTCCGCCTTGTTCGAGCTGACCCTGGAGGTATACTATTGGTTTTCCTCTTGTATCGTGTGCCTGCTGGCCAAATGCGAGTAGGGAAGAGGAGAGTAGATAAAAGCTACTCCGTACTGTACGTTTCCGTTCGCGATTCGCGCACAGTCACCCCCCACCCCTCCCTAATCGATTTATTTGTTATGCCGCCAGGCTATACCTCGAAACTAGCTCCAATTCCAGAGGATACTACTGATACTTCTACCTGGGATCATACCTCGCGACCTAAAACCCCCACGAACATCTCCCACTTCCCTTCCAACTGTGAGCAGTCGACTATAATTTGAGTGGCAAAGCACTCTGCGTTTGGACAGCTTCTGACTGCATTACTTACCTTGGCACATAGTTGACGAGATCAAGAGTACTCCAGGTCAGCTATGAACGCGTACATACACCGGAGAGCTTAACGTTCCAACTGCTGACGTCCGCTATCTCAGCGAGAGCTACCTTAGGGGGCTATCAAGGCGAGGATCACACAAGAGACGTCATCCGTCCTCAGCTGAAAAAGGACATGGAAGGTACACTCGGCGCAGGACTCCCTTTTGATGACTATATCGAGGCTGTCTGGGGCCTTAACCGTACAAAGCTTCATGAAGACGAACACAGGCCCTGCCTTTCGTCCGAAGAGCTCGCGCGATATCGTTCTCCTGCTCTCGAGAAAACTCGCTACATCCCGTTCACCGCCATACTCGCGCAACTTCTCCTGGATTACCTCAAGTACATGCGGAAACATGGACATATGGACGAAATCGTGCTTCCATGCGGCGTATTTTTTGAAGCACGGGTAGGAGACGATGTCGTACATGGCGATGGTGGCTCTCAACGGAAACCCGATGCGAGCGTAACAGCCCAGCTAGGTGAGGCGGTGTTTGCGAGGTTGAGAGAGATTGGCGACAAGAGCGCACAGATGTTGACCACGACGAAGGACAAGGTCATTGAAAAAGTTCGTTTGATATGGGCGTATCTGCTTTCTTTCTTCGAGTTCAAGAAGAAAGGAGGCGCTGCTGACGACGGATATTCCCCTATGAGTCTGGACACGCGCGCTACCGTCTCGGAGCTACCGAAAAAGACACCCTCATCTCTAAAACGGCCTTCTGACTCCTCGGTCAATGGCCGCGCCACCTCTAAACGCAGGAAGAAACGATCCTCCCACCCCCTCTCCATTCCTTCGTCGTCCGGATTTATGGAGCTCATTGACACTCGCAAGACTTTGAATGCAGACGAGCTGCAAGCAGCCGATTACGCTCACGAGAGCCTCCGTACTGGCCATCGTCGTTACTCCACCGGCATCTTCGTAGATGACGACGTCATGACTCTATGGTACTACGATCGCATGGGACCCGTACGTTCAAAACCCTTCAACTTCGTAGAAAGACCAGATAGACTCCTCGCCGTCGTCGTCGCTCTAGCTAGCGCCACAATCGCGGGCTTCGGTTTCGAGCCAATGATCTGCACTCCAGGTCCCTCAGCCTCTCTGCCCCTCCCAACAACCACGACTACCGAGGAAACCACGACTGCCGAGCTCGAGGACACTACGACTACCGAGGAAACCACAACTACCGAGAATAAGAAGACGGCCGATCTCTCGCGCTCGAAAGATCCTGACATGCTCAGCAGAGTCCGTCAGACCGCAGAGCTTACGGAAATATACGAGAAATACCGGTCACAAATGCCTCCAGACGAGAACTTGACCGACTGCTACTTCCGTATCACATCCCGAGTCGGCCTCGCTGACCGCCCGTTATTCGACCTTCCTTCGTCGGCGTCTTTCCCAACCACATCGAGATCTTCCTCCTCCATCCTCTCCTGGGTCTGGGATTCGTTGAAGCCAAAGACCGGGATTTTATCACCGCTCTCGGACGTCGTTTTCAAGATCAAAGGGAGACCTCTCTACGTACAGGACGGGTTGGTCGGAAGAGGGACGGTGGTTCTTCATGTGGAGACCAAGGAGGACGAGCAACGACGATTTCCCTCCGACATCATCGCCAAGATAAGCTGGCCTCCGAGGAGTCGCATCCCGGAGGACAGCATTATCCGGCACGTTCGATTCCACGTTCCGAAGAAATGGAAAAAGCACATCACGAACCTCGCCTGTTCTACGACTCTCTCGATGCCAGAAGAAACGGACGGCTCGATTGGATCGACAGAGAGTGCGGCGAGCGCATCAGACAACCAAGTTCTGGACATTCCTCGAAGACGTATCATGTCCATCCTTCGTACCCGGATCAAGCAACGTGATGCAGGAGGTTTAAAGGCGGCGGAGAAAGAGGAGTTATCGGATGCCTTCATCGGCCCTGAATACGAGGAACGGGTCCTTCGCGTTCTCGTCTGCGAGAAGAATCTACCGTTGAACCGGGTGCAGAATCTGGACGAATTTAAATCAGTTTTTGTCGATGTCGTGAAAGGTCAGTTCCTCTCCTCGGAAGCTCTGACGACGAGTACTGACATATCCTTCCCAGCCCACTATGTCGTTTATACAAAGGCCGGTATACTTCATCGGGATCTCAGCGTCAACAATATCATGTTTACAAGGGATCCGGTCACCAATCGTGCAATCGGTGTTCTCAACGATTGGGACCTAGCAATCCCCGTCAACCGTTCGGAGTACAACGTCGAGAAACCCACCTCTCATCATCGCACAGGCACCGCCACATTCATGTCCCTGGAACTCCTCAAGGACTCGAATAGAACCATCCCTCATCTCTATCGCCATGATCTGGAGTCCTTCATGTGGATCCTGATTTGGTGCTCTTTCAACTTCCTATTCAACGGCATGGAATTACCTCCAAACCAACGGAGCGACTTCGTTCAAGAATGGGTAGATATAAGCTGGTCGCGCATCAGAAAAGCTAAGAAGGACTTTTTAAGCGACTACAGCGACGCACTCAAGCGGACGACAAATGTCATGCGACCTCTGGTGCCAAAGATCGTTGGGCCCCTCTCTCAAAGTATGGGTCGCGCGTTCTCCGAGCGTACGCTCAGTCAGACGCAGTACGAGGGTCCCAGTTTCCTGAGAGTAACGACAACGGATTTTTTTGACCTTTTCTTCACTTTCGAATGTTTCATGAAAATTATCGAACCGGAGGTGACAGATCCGGTGGGCGCTTTGACGCTACATGAAAGATGAGCGTTCTGCCCGATTTCTCCACCACATCTTATTCCGGGCGTTACGGTCAACTCTCCAAGCCGCTTGATGCATTATCATTATTCCATTCGCCTTCTTTCTACCCATCTTCTCATAATTGCCCATTTCCTTATATCCTCGAGCATCTATACCTTTTGTTCTTATCTGCATTTGATCTCGGTAGAATGTGACTTTATTTCGGTTTCTTGGCATGCGTAACCTGCGCTGTCGTTCACCTCTATCGCATTTCTGAGCTACTGCAGGTTTTGCGGGTACTGGCTGATCAGCGCGGTCACCAGATGAGCACCCTTATGAAATATTTTTAATAGTACCAGTGTCTGCGAGCGGAACATGATCACTCTTCCTGCTGTCGACGAGCAGGACGATGAGGCGAAAGCCTTACCGACGTTCTTGAGATCTGAGATCGCCGTCTTTCCGGCTCTTTCCCGGAGTGATCGGAGCCACGCGCAACGAGCCATTTGTCCGGCAGACAAGGGATCCAATCATGACGAGGATGTTTCCAGCAATCACATGCGAGCGGGTCAATTTCAGACGCTTGGTTCAAAGCAGTCCTATAAGAATGCGCCTCAGCCAGCTCTCTTCACCCACTTGCCTTACTATTTCGAAAGACGCTCTAGGCTAGCACCAATATCTCTGGGAATAAGCCTTGGTATCTTATTGTACGATTGGCTGAACAGCTATGGCAGCGAAAGAGTTCAAACAATTAACGCTCGAGGATGTATCGGTGCACAACAAAGACGGTGATCTGGTACGTGCAATCCTAGTGCTCCTGTTTACATCGTAGATGGCAGGCAGCTTACATGCATTTGTTTACCATGGGATCCTCAATAGTGGGTCGTCGTAGATGCGAAGGTTTATGATCTCTCGCGGTTCAAGGACTTACACCCAGGAGGAGCCGCCGTCCTTCTCGATGAGGAAATTGGTACGCCCGCCCATTCACCATGAATCTCGGCTCTTTAAATACATTTCTTGCAGCACAACTTGCTAATTGCTTGCGTCATCTTTTCTACCCCCTGTACAGCCGGTCAAGACGCCACAGAAGCCTTTTACGGTCTTCATCGGCATGAGGTCCTCGAACGCCCGCAATACGCCCGTCTTCAGATCGGTGTCATCAAAGGCGAACAGAGCGTTATCGCAAGTCGTGTACCAGGTGAATTGTCAGGCGTACCTTACGCAGAGCCCACATGGCTTGCTCAAGGATATCACAGTCCGTACTTCAAAGAGGTCAGTCAGTCCACGCCACCGCCACACTCATTACCAACATCACTCCTGAATGAAACCCGAAATGAAGGATCTAATGCCTCTTGCACGTCTGTTTATAGAGCCATAAGAAGTTACAGGTGGCTATGCGTCAATTAGTCGACGATGTTATCTACCCAGATGCTCAGGCCCGTGAAGAAGACGGCAAACGACCAAGTCTGGAGGTGATCAAGAAGATGGCGTACGTGGTGTATTCACTTACAGGGTTTATCTTTCTCTAACGGTATGAATTTCTCATCGTTCTGATTGTATAGTGACCTCAACGTTCATGCTATGCGGATGGGCCCCGGAAAGCATCTGAAGGGACTTACCTTGATGGGTGGTATTGTCACTCCTGAGGAGGTTTGTGCACTCATCGCTCTATTAGAGAGTATACTGCAATACCTGACGTCCTATCGCCCGCCAGTTTGACTATTTCCACGAGTTAGTCGTCACTCAAGAATTCTCTCGTATCGGCGCTCGTGGCTACGGCGATGGTCAGCCACTCACATTGTTACCCACATTATTCTCACTATATACTCACTACTCCTTTTGTTGACGTAGGTCTGCAGGCCGGCGCTGTCATTGGTCTTCCACCGGTCCTCAATTTCGGTTCACCCGAGATGAAAGCCAAGGTTGTTCCCGAAGTCCTCTCTGGAAAGAAATTCATTTGTCTAGCCATCTCGGAGGCGTTTGCCGGGAGCGACGTTATGGGCTTGCAGACCACCGCGAAGAAGAGCGAAGATGGGAGGAAGTGGATCATCAATGGGACGAAAAAGTGGATCACGAACGGGACGTTTGCAGACTAGTGAGTCGCGGAGCTTGTCTTGTGCCCTGACGATGAGTGTGTTGACCGGGTTGTATCATGTTTTCAGCTTTACCGTGGGTTGTAAAACAGAGGTCAGTGTTAACTATCCCGTGCCTTGGAGCTAGTCGTGCTGACGATCTTGCGTTTCCTCAAGGATGGCTTCACCGTCATCCTGGTCGAGCGCTCCGACGAGGTCTCCACCAAGGCTATCAAGACTTCCTATTCCTCTGCTGCCGGCACAGGTTTGTCGTTCTTTCCATACAAATGTCTTCAGATCTCTCATTCCTTTTCTCACCCTCCCACTAGCGTACATCACTTTCGACAACGCAATTGCCCCTGTCTCCAACACACTCGGCCCAGAAGGCGGAGGCATCTTCGTCATGCTCTCCAACTTCAACCACGAACGATGGGTGATGTGCTGTTCGTCTGCCCGTTCACAACGTGCAATCGTTGAGGAGTGCTTGAAATGGGTGAACCAGAGGAAGGCGTTCGGGAAGCCGCTTAGCAGTCAGGCGGTGATCAGGAGCAAGTTGGCGGCGATGATAAGTAGGGTGGAGAGCGCGCAGAATTGGCTGGAGAATGTGACGTGGCAGATGTGTAATATGGTAGGTTTTGGCGTCTTCGATTCTGAGTGCAAGTGAGGGAAAGAGCTAACTTGCTGTTTGACTCTTTTTGCATAGTCGTATAAGGAGCAGTCACAGAAGCTCGCAGGGTGGGTCTCATTCAGTATTTTAGTTCGCGTCATCCACATATTCTAACATTTGCATCTATTACTAGACAAATTGGACTCCTGAAGATGTACTGTACGTCGTCCGCTCAAGAGACCGCGAAGGATGCCGTGCAGATATTCGGTGGACGAGGCATCACGCGGACAGGCATGGGCCGTTTCGTCGAGCACGTACGTCACTTTCCTTCCTCTTCCATCCTCATCTATAGTCTACCTTTTCCAAACTACTGACCTCCATTTGTATGGTTTACGCTTCACAGTACCACCGTACCATCGCGTTTGATGCGCTGCTCGGTGGCGCAGAGGACGTACTGGGAGATTTGGGTGTTAGGCAGGCGATGAGTCGCATGCCAAAGAACGCAAGACTCTGATCCACAGGACTTGTCTTCTTCTTTGCAAGTTTGGACATACATGCCCTATTCACGGCGTGTGGCATCAACTGTGTGGCGCCGTTGTTATACCAGATACTTTCAATCGTTCTTGGATTTCTTGCGGCATTGTTAGACTGGCGTTGTCATGTACTTGTACTCATTTTACTTTTCTACGCATATTTATTGTACATCATTTGGCTGGTATGGATCGAATCAGATTGGATTGTAAAGTTACTTTGGGTGCCCAGAGATTGTAGACCAGCATCCCTTTTTGAACTTTCGCTGCAGCAGCAACAACAACACTTCTACGTGATATCCATGATGAACTAGATCAATTCAGGTCCTGTCAACGCCATTCCGTTGGCATACATCAATGGTTGGCAGAGCTTGACGGGATTGCGACGGGCTCTTCTGTTCCAGCGACGACCATTTCGGTATCACTGTGACCTTCGCCGCAGGCCTATAATCGATCATCGCTATTTAGTATTCTCTCGTGAAAGCTCTCGAGGCTCAACACGTTAGGCAAGTGTAACTACCTCGTCGCCCGCAGATGCCACCCTTGAGGTATCCCAATCTTCCTGTAGCGGGTCCTCTTCGGGTTCCTCGCCGGACTGACTGGTCAACCATTGTGTATCCAGAGGCGCCCCAATATTGCCTAGAAATCGGTTCTGAGCGAAGACGAGTTCGGGCACGGCGGTACCATTCTTTCTGGTGGTATTGAATGAGAGTGGACGTTCAAATGACCTAAGGTTGAGGTATAAACGATTGACGAGTAGGTTCGGGAGGCTGTTTTGTTGCGTCCATTACATATGATTCCACAAATTTCCAAGGTCACGGTCAGGGCTGTGGATAGAGTTCCTGAGACTCGGACTTACACAGAGAAGTAAGGGATCAAAACTCCAGCTAGTAAGTCTGCAGTCTCGGGAGAACTCTGTCACCGCGAAAGACGTATTTCAGCACTGTTGCCAAGCATGAGAGATAGAGGAGAGCAATCGCTACACTGACCTGATTTAATAGACCGTTCTAAAAGCAGATCATCAGCCATGAATACTCCCCGGCTACATAGTATCAAGAGACCCGCACCAGTTCGAGAGCAAGATTCACAGAAGCAACTACGGATACAAGTCTGCATACTTAAATGATAGGTTATGATCAAACCAACCAGAAAACCGTCAGGCATTTGACAATCTTACTGACAGATAGTACATGGCTCCTGCGGGTGATATAATCAGCCCAGATGTGAGGACCAAAGGACGACGAGGAGATATTACTGACCATCGCGAAGCAAAATATCGGTGATACTGTTCCGACCATTTTTGTACATTTGTATGGCATGGCGGTACGTTTTTAGGACTGTTACTCCGAACACGAAGGTGTCAAATAGAAGTGGTAGGACTGCAGTGACAATGGTGGCTGCGGATCGGAAGAGAGACTCAGCGCAGGCCACACGGGATGGCTAGGGTACCTACATCTACATTGGAAGTGATGAAGACTTCAGCAACAATAAGTATCACTACCATGTGCCTGCGACTCTCACCTTTCATACAGGAGCGCATTCAAAGCAATCGAAGAACACATTGAGAACAACCCAAATTGGGATCCCGTGGTAGATACACCTCTAGTCAGAACGTTGTCTTGCTGTATTGTGATGATTTGTGAGTTTTCCATATCACTTGAAATGTTACATGGTGTACCTACCCATACGTCAACTCCAAACCTTACCGCGATCATTATTAATGCCACACAAAGTATAAGTTTGCTTTGGCCGCATATAGCATAGACCCTCAGAGCAAACAATACTGGAAGGCCACTTCAGCTCGAGTGAGTGAAGAGAAATGTATTGCGAGGCGACTGACGGCTGGTAGTAACTAGCGAAATCATTGTAAACCATAATGACACCTGTGCCACGACGCGGCATCTAAACCGACAGATTTCAGTGAGCGGCAGTATCTGGAGGCTGAACTCAAACGTTAGCAATCGGACGTACCTCTTATCAGATGCAGAGCCAGGACTGCCCGTCACTAACTCGAGGATGAGGCCCACTCCGTATGAGTACCGGTTCACAAGGAAGATAAATGCGGTCCCAGATGCTTTGCTTGACCAGACGGCGTTGATCTCCATTGGTAATAGTCATACATCCACAGTGCTTATGATCCATGAGATCAACAGGTCTTAGCTCACAGGTCCCGAGAAATGAACGACATACTGGCGGCGGAAAAAAAGGTATAGTTCTGGATGACCCTGCAACTAGGTGTTAGAGCGGTTGGTCTGTGTGCCATGCAAGATATTCGCTTGCCATAATTGGTCCTGAAAGATGATGACTTGCAAGTCGGCTTCAGAGGACATCGTGAGGAACGAGAGGAACTGAGTGAATACTCACTTATCTCCCAACCCGACCCAATTTATAATGAAGTACGTCCGGACTATTTTTGACACAAGATTTCTTGACCCATCTCTAGGAACAGATGTGGCGTTCCGCACCAAGCTATGCGCAATCGTGCTGATGGATAGCAGCCCGCGGCCGAGCTTCAATCAACACGAGGAGGTTCCGTACAGCGAATGAGACGAGTTGCAGCCAACTTGAGACCTTGATATCATGAGTTGACCCAAAGGTGGTTCTATCACTGGAGGTAAAGTTGAAATATAATCAACGCTCTCACGGAACTTTGCTCCCTGTGGATCTACAGCCTGAGGTGAACAAGAGGACATCATGGTAGAGACCACTGGTGACCGAAGTGGCATCATCATAGATGGTGAAGAGTCCCACGAACAAATGAAAGTCTGGTCTGGCAAAGAGGATTCACAAGGAATGGTGGGTGACATCAGGGGAGGCAGAGTAACTCGTCTACATCCACCTACTGACTCGACCCTTCCTGGAAAAAAACTCGAATGACCCGACGGGCAACTTGAGCCCGATCTAGACAAGCGCATAGATGTCTTATCTGTTCTCATATTTAAGAGGCCTGGAGGCTTCCACTACAACATCAAGATCTCTCGTAAGTTCGGGCCATACTCAACCACAACTGCAATCTGTACGCACCGAAGGGACTAAACCATCCTTTTCGTTCAACGGACCAAAGATACGTAAATCGTGGTTGATATCCTGCTGATAGATGATATACTATGCCTCAAAGAGCATTGAAGTTAGTTGCGTGTTACTTGTAAGAAGGCCACCGAGCTCGACATGGATGCACTACTGCCCCGATAGCCTACTTCACCACGAGAGAGATGGTGAGAGGCGAGAGGAACATCACGGATAGTAGCAAAAAAAAGATACTGAAGCAGACTGAGATTGACGTCTTTCCAGGAAAATGCAAAACGGCTCGAGTACGGGGAGTGCAGATTAGTCTACTGCAGTATGCGAACGTGCAAAGAGACCAACACCTGCGGCTATGGACAATCGGGTCTGAAACAAGCTGACTGGCATGACCTGACGAGCTCTAAACATGGCCTTCTCTTTGGATGCGTACCATCTCTATATCATCGGTCCCGTCTCCATGATATATCTGGCGTGGTAGTTCAGCGATGCGCCGACAAGGAATACGAGTGAACGTCACGTACAACTGGGATCAGTGTGGTCGCCCCATTCCCTAATTCTGCTGAGGCCACGGAGTCCTCAGGATTGGCTTCAGCAACTTCGTCCGAAAGTTCCAGCTCGTCATCATCGAATCGGATGTCCCACCACTCTGGATCGAGAGGTGCCCCGATATTGCCCAAAAATCGATTTCCAACGGAGATTGGTCGCGGGACGCCATCCTCTCTCGAAAACTTGGTAGAGCGTGAGTGATTCAATGCTCGAATGTTCAGGTAGAGGCGGTTGATGAGGAGGTTTGTAAGTCTGTGCCCGTTTCAACGGATCAGCACGGTGCGCTGGTTAGGGCGACGACCAATTGCGGAGAAACCCCTGTAAGGGAACGTACACGGAAAAGTACCCTGACAAAACCTCCCCCAACTGAAGCCAAGTCTCAGAAGGCGGCTATGGTGAATAAAAACATCTGAGTCTATCTCGGAGATATTGTGGTTTGATAAATGATCTGACATTAATCACAGAGGACTATGGGCAAATACTCAGGTCTCAGGATGTTAGATGGTCAGGACCGATCATGCTTACCAGCAGGAGAGCGAGGTTTGCAACTGCGACCGTGAATACTATGCTAAGCAACGACCGCCGAGGGTAAGCTTGATAGATCAAATCAACGTAGTGACATGATCAATCACTGACAAGAAGTATACAGTTCCTGGTACGTCGTAAGCCCTATGCTTCGCGGGACGAGGAAGATTAAAAAGCTTACCATCGCGAAGCAATACTTCAGTGATACTCTTCTGACCATGCTTCCGCATTTCCAAAAGGTGTCGGTACGTCTTGAAAACGGTCATCGCGAAAATAAAAGTATCGAAAATCATAGGCAGGACCCCAGTGACGATAATGGCTGCCATAGAAACAGTATTAAGAGCAAGTTACGACCATGTAAAATGCGGCGTAGTAGGCTTACAGCTTTTCGAAGAAGGGAGTGTTTCAGTGCATATAAGTGGACTATAGGTACAGTAAGGCCACTGACCGTGCGTAAAGCCTTTGGTTCCGTATCGAAATCGAGCACTGCGAAAAGTCGGCATACTGAGTGCTTTTGGTGGAGTCACCGCGCTCCAAGGTAGCTTGCTATGATTATACGGCCGCCCCAGATGATTTCAGTGCACCCCCAAAGAAATGTTATAGTAACGCACCCAGATGCCAACGCAGACTCGTACGGCGAGCATTACTGATGCCGCTTGAATGATTAATTGGTTTTGTCCACATATCGCGTAGACCCTTAGAGCTAGAATTACTGAAGAGGTGTTATCGTAAATCGACAGAGACATAGACGTGGCTCAGTGTGACTCACAATTCGCTGCGATTGCTGCGAGAATGATCATGGTTGTTTGGACCGTATATAGTATATCACAACTATATGAGATTGGGAGTCATTAACTATCGCATGTCAGGTACAAGTGCCATGGAATCTACCTCTTGTCAGATGCATAGCCTGGAATTGAGATCACATCGAGTAGATACAGTCCTCCGGCGTACGCATAGCGATTCACCAGGAACAAGATTGAGGTTCCGGTGAGCTTCCTGCACCATACCGCTTCGACCTCCATCGGTAGGGTATGGACGAAATCGAACGTCTAGAGGGCTAGTGGAGTATATGTCAATATCTTCCTTGTGATGAAAGTGCATGACGAACATACCTGTCGCTGAGAATTGAGAATATTCCAAGATGACCCTGCACGAGTGAGAGCGTCACGGTAAGTGTCATGTCAGAGGAATGACAGAAGAAAATGCACCATGAGCGGTCTGCAGAAATAAATTCTTGCAGGGCGGTTGAGGAGGTCCACATGGTACGCTGGGAGGAATTGTAGAGTGACTCGAAGTAACACCCACTTAAGTTATAGTACTCGAGAAGGTCGAAGGTCCCAGAAAGTTCGTAGCAGCCAATGAGAGGGTTTGGTCAACATGGCCATGTCCTCCAACAATCATAATGTAGACAAAAGACACTGCCCACGGACCAGAAGAATACAGAGTAGCAGTGGAGCTACCAATATTGCCTGCAAGATCTGTTTCAACCGTGAGCGCCGCACATGTGAGCATTCGTCCGAGTCCAGAACTGCATCACAATTAACAGATTTATCTTAGCCATTTTCCGCCAAGCAGGAGAACGAGAAGGTACAGCGGCGAGATAATATATAGACATTTTAAGACAGCCCAAAGCCAAATACCGTCGATCCGAGTTGAAAGCTTCAGGGTGAGATCAGTTTTAGCAGGACGTCGTCCTGATCGTGGCTCCGAGTTGACTCGTTGGTGGCACGACAGTGATTGACGTGAGTGTCGGTGTTCAAAGCTCCGGTAGAAAACAGTGATGTCGGAAAATGTAGAAAGCCGATGAAATGTACCGAGTTCAGCCAAGAGGTTCGACGTTGGCTCGTCTGAGTCGTTTAACAAGAAAGAAAGCACTGATGCGGCGTTCCCGTGCGGAAGAAACGACCCGGGATCAGCCGGTCCAATCATCTCACGAGAATTGTGTGGCGTGTGGCGCAACAATCGTTTCCATTCCCTTCAGTTGCCCTTCAGTAACGATATTGGTTCCTGAATCCTCCATTCTTTGAATGCCAAGTATCAATTGCCCCCAACTATGGCCTCTGCTGTTGAGCTCCAGGTTTCAGATGAAATGATCCACAAACTTTGCCTTGACCTTGTCTCCGGCTGCCGAGTCGCTGAGATGAACTCAGTGTGACCATTGAGCAATTTGGGGCAGGGTAATAGACCGTTTATTCGACCTCGATTGGGGCCTCAGGTCTCAGACATCAGAACGCAAATCACCCAATAGTTATACGAGCGACACAGTATTTGATTGTGCCATGTTCTCGAAGCGTGAAAGACAGTACAAACAGTATACACTACTAGTATAAAGGTCTCAACGGTCCGAGTGTGCAAGTGCAAATAACGAAGTAAGCTAAGATAAGATTCAAGGAGATCCGCGTCATAATGGTGTGCATAGAGTCGAGAAGTGCAAGGAGAAAGCTGTAGGATGTAGAACCGGAGAAAGGCAAGGAGTGTGGAGTACTAGCGAAAGAAAACTATGAAGACCCAGACAAAATCAGATCAGTTCGATAGGCAACAAAGGGCGTAGCGCAGTCCGCCACAACTCGAACCAGAACATCATCACCACCCCAACCTCACATCCCAAAGATCCTCGAAATCCCGCCCTTCTCCCCGCCGTTCAACTGCTTCATTTTCACCAGCCTCTCCCTGTCATCGACCTGCTTCGTCAACCTCAGGTGCTCCACCTCCTCATTCTTCTCCCTCAACATCTCCGTCGTATGCCTTGCATGCTCCCGGCTGGCCTCGAGTGCCTCCTCGGCGGAACGAAGACTTGACTGCCATTTCTCGTGAGTGGCTTGTGCGGCAAGGAAGGCCATCTCAGCTTTATGGGCTTCGGCGAGAGCGCGAGCGTGTGCGGTGTGCGCTTTGCCTTCGTCCTATTATCACAAGATATAACACAAATAAGCAATGAGGCGTGAGGTAGAATGGGAGGAGTGTGATGACGAACCTTGATCGCGACTTTCTGCAACTTCTGCACCTCTCCAAGTTCCTTCGTGGCGACGTCGAGCGCTTGCTTCTCCGCCTTGCCCTCCTGTTTGATAATCACAGACAGCTGCCTTCCATGCTTAGCTAAAGCGACAAACGGTGTCAATCAACTGTAGTCCATGACGAATGGAAGCCAGGCACTCACCCTCCTGCTTCTCAAGCTTTGCCTTCTCCTTCGAACTAAGCTCATCCTCTGCAGTCGCTTGCCTCTCGTGCAAAGACGTGTCGATCTCCAACGGCGCCGCGGTCGCAGCCCCATCGACGAACGTACTCCCATTGATAGGCTCCCCATTCGTGTTCAGACTCCTCACACTCTTCGCTCTCCGAGCCGCTGCACCACCAGAAGAAGTCACAGAGCCAGGTGTCGGACTGGCAGCGCGAGAGCTGCGCTTCGTGGTAGAAAATCTGCCGATGGACGCTTCACGCGAGTGAGATGCTTTGGTGGGTGAAGGAGTGGAGACGGTGTTGGTGGTGTTGGTTTGAGCGGGGGAAGACGAGCGAAGGATGGATTTAGGATCTTGTTGGACGGGAGGGTCGGAGAGCTGATGGCGAGTGACGTCGGCGGGTACGTAGGCGTAGTTCTGAGATTGTGTAGGGGCAGCGTTACCGTTGGCGGGACCAGCCAGCTCGTCATCGGGATGATGAACCATGGGCTTCGAGTCTTCGAAGTCAACAGCGGTAGGGGCGGGGGCGGACTTCTCGGTAGTAGAAGTCTCGTGCTCTGGAATAGTCGGCGCCATTGCAGCAGCAACGCTCTGCTTGGGTGGAATAGTTCCGACAGCGACAGAGGGTTGGCGGTTGACATCTGTGTCAGCAGTCATGGTGGTAGGGCTGTCGTGAATATCCGTATCGTTGACCGCGCGCGAGGTACCATCCTCTGCAGCGAGGGCGTCCTTGAGGTCAAGTTGTGGGTCGGTAGAGCTGACGGCATTCTGGTCGTCGTCGTGTGTGTGAGTGTCGGCGAGAGCAGTGGCAGTGAGGGGGGAAGGGGGAGACGCAGTCTCAACTGGAATGGACGTGGATGTGGAGGGTGCAGAGCGGTCTGGGGATGGACCGCCTGGTATAGGCATGTCACTCACAGAACCTGGGGTGACGGCGGGGTCAGATGAACTCTGGAAGAAGTTAAACATGTCTGGAGACGGATGAGTGAGGAGTGATGGTGGTAGGTGGGAAAAGCGAAGATGTGAGCGTGCATGGTTGGCGGCAGGGAGGAGGATAATATAGGGCCGGCTGAAGCACATCGGGAGGCGCAACGGAGGTGGCGCTCAGTGCGGAGTGACGTCATTGGCCTGTCGATCGCCCTCCTCTACTAGTTCGTTCTTTCGCTCCTCTCGCAGGAACGCTACTAGAAAACGCGTACCTTTCAGACGTCAACGAAAATGTGTGTGAGGTCTCTCGTCTAGCAGAACCGACAGGAACCAGCATAGCTGCCCCTTGTAAACAGATGACCGGATGCTCCAACCAGCCAGCTCACTCTGTCTCACGTCGTCTGTGCCTAACACAGAAATTTATCAGAAAAGAATATGACTGAAACCAGTCCCGAGACATACCTGGTATGTTGCACAGCATTAAGAAGAATTATGTCTCGGGGAGCGCGGGTTTCAATGTCTCCTTCTCCTGCCGGCTCGTGCACTGCATGACCAATCACTTATCTCTCTGAAAGAAGACAGACATGAGCCAAGTCGACTGCGGCCTTGTTCCTCGCGAATGGAGCGCGTCCAAGTGGGGATTCATAATTAGTGTATGATGATGTTTCTGTAGATCCTTGTCTGCACTTCGCCAATATATCGCCGTTCGAGGACGAGCGAGCTGAGAGTTCATACTAGCCAGGTCTGGCAGTGCTGCCTGAAGGGATGAATATCGCTCAATGTGAGTCCACGGAAAGGCTTGAAAAATAGAGTGATCAAGCTCTGTTTGAAGTAGTAAATATGTGTGTGCCTACGAAGGGTGTAAGAGAGGAGTGTGTTCGCAAACAACAACTTGGAGAGATCGGGAAAGGCAAGACCGCAAATTGCCGTGACTGCAAGGGTCCTCACGCCACACGCGTCACTGTTCGTATGTGGCGCAAGACGGCTCCTATGTAAAAACAAGTTCATCATGCAGGGTGAGCGTGCACGGGCAACCTTTCCCTCAGGGTGTACCATGTTTCTACTTCTCAAAATTATATAACATATAACACCCCCCATATACATGCCAAACCCCCACGCATTCCATCAAAACGACAGCTTAACCATACCTTCCAAGCCCTCCTTCGCTACTGCCTTCAACCTGCTCGCATACTGTCTATTCTTACCCAACTGAAGCTCAAAATGTAGTTTACGGATGACTGCTTGGTACGAAGTCGGCCGTTGGGAGAAGACAGTGTGGAAAGCTTTGAGGCCGAGCCTTATGCGAAGATATTAGTATGACGCGGAGATCGGGTGGAATTTTGGGAAATGGGAGGGAGGAGGGTCTTAGGTTTGGGGTGCATTGGGTAGAGTTTTACAGGGGGAAAAATGAGAAGAAAACGTACCAGATGACGGCCTGTTTCTGGATCTCGCATTTTGCGCCGCTGGCTATAGCTACCCTGTTCGTTGCTTTCTGTCGGATAGTCGAGTACGTATATCGAATCACCTGGCTGATCGTGTCTGTTCCACCAACAGACACATGAGCACCAAGGATAATCACGATTAACATCTCTCTTTGCCTGGCCATAATTAAACGACGGAGAACTCACCATATACAAATCCGTAACTCGAACCCTTGACTTTGCTAGTGCCGAGCTTACCAATGACGCCCCATGCCTTGAGGTAGTGATGCATCTTCATCCCTACGAGGAGGAAGTTCTGGTAGATGTTGATGTTGATGGTGTGCGGAGAGTTTAGGTCGGTATCGCAGTAGATAATGTGGCTCCTGGCTTTAGCTAGTCTGGAGAATGAAGAGGGCGCGGTGGAAAGATGGATAGTGGTGAGCATGAGCAGAAGTTAAAAGAAGGGAATGGGAGGTATAATGAAGACACGTACTGTAGCATCTTGTGCAAGAACGTAGCACCAGCCTTTCGGCCTCTGTCGACAGTCAGAGAATCGACGGTGTCTTCCAGAGCCACATTGTCAGGCTCGCGCCAATTCGTGATAGATGGAGAGAGTGCAAACTCACATGTATCATTGTAACGCATATAATCTGCTCGAATGGAGAGATCCAACGTGTCAATCAGAAAACCACACCAAGGAAAGGCTATTCGGCATGAAGGAACAGAGTCGATACTCAGTGCGGGCTGCAATCAAGACAGACGATCATGAATAGCGATGCGTACATCCTTGCTTGGGTTCAATGATGTTGGCGATTTGAGTATCGTGGTCGAAGTTGGTCAAGGTTTTATCGCGGGAGATGAAGCAGCCGTATTCAGGATGGCCTAAAGGCAGCAAGTTGTTCAACATACAGAATGTGACTTTCAAGCTAGACAGACCAACACACCTCTGTTCATGACTTCCAAAAATTGTCTTGCTTTGGAGAGGTCGGTGGTGATGAAGAGATAGTCGTCAATCAGTCTAAGGAGTACCTATACGAGAGGCATCTTTCAGGACGCCACATCTGTAAGATCAAAGGGAACAAAAGGCTCACACTCCCAGGATCCTGCGTAAACTTCAAAAGGTTTCTCTCGAGGTCTCCGTAGAAGAACGAGCATAACAGCGCGGAAAGAACGGATCCCTGAGGGATTCCAACCACTTGACGATAGTAGTCTTGCCCAATCTATATCCGTGTTCGCGTTAGCCGTCCGACATAAGAAGAAGCCACGCCAAAAGAAAAGAGACGCACCTTGACCATATTTTCTGTTATATGCTCTTCCAAGAGCTCTAAGACCTCCGCCTTTGAAGATGTGTGGTACAACACCTACATATACATCATAATCAGGGTCAAGTCAAAAACTCCGCAAGATAGCTAGCGAAGTATACCTGATCGAGGAAGATCACGTTCTTTAACAGCCCAGCAAGCTGAGCCGCATATTGCAGAAAGTGCGGATGTTCCCCTAAATGATTTCGTATAAGTCATCAGCAGGGAGAAAGAAGAGGGAGGCCTACCGTCAGGCAGAGCTTTCTTGATATATTGCCGCCTGATTTTGCCTGATTTTGGTGCAATCTGTCCATATCGCTGGAGGAGATACGAGTCCTGTAACCCAAATGATTGCATCTCTGTTAGCATATTTCGTGTGTGTAGATGACGTCATGATATATACCTCGGAGATGATCAGGTCTCGCAGTATACTGAGCAATTTTGTTTGGTCGATGGTATCAAAACAGGCTTGAACGTCGACCTTCACGAAGTACAGCTTCGGGCTAGGGTCACACAGGTACCAGACATCAGATATGGAAGAGATACAGAGAAGAAGGAGGAGGATCGTACAGTTTTCCGTCGGGGCTGTCGAATGCGAGTCTTGACTTGAACGCCTTCAGTTGACCATAGATCTCATTAGGACCAAAGACCGATGAGCCCAAGAGCGCAGGCTGCGCCTCCTGTTCCAGTGGTTCAGTCAGTACATATGCCATTTTTGCAGAAGCATGTGCCTCCAGCTTGCCTTTTCGTAGGATAAGATCTTGAAGGTAGCCTGCAATATGTCATTCACCGACCTCGATCCCGAGCCCTAATTATCGTCACTGGTCAGCTTGTGAAGAATCACAGTGATGGTGTGGCCGCATTATGCAATACGTACACTGCTCTGTGTCTTTTTGCGCCTGAGGTTTACGATCGGTCTGACGCCGGTTTCCTTCGGAAGCAGGCGAACAAACGAGAAACCCAACTTGCGTTGACGAATAATCTCTTCCGCTTCCTCCTACGAGTTCAAGCAGTCAGCAACAAGTCGAAAGTCGAAGGAAAGGGCATGGCGGACGCACTTCTTCAAGTTTCTGAAATGTATCTGCACTTAAGCGCTCTATGAGTGGCGCACACAGTGCGTTCCAATCGTCTTGCCGGAAGTAGAGGATGCGATTTCGGAAAGCTGAGGATTCTGTGACGTAGAAAGTGGTCTACGTTCAATGGGATGAGCCTCTCATTTCAGCAAAATCAACTAGGGGTGAGAGGGTGCCACATACCCGCAGTAAAGGGAGCAGAAAAGAACTGAAGTACCAAAACAAGAAGTCCTCCAGGAGGTCCCGGCGTTTAAGTAAGTCGGAAACGGGAACATGGCCGGACGTTGGACTTTGGCCTAGCCAGGAGAAGTCGGAAGTTTTCAGGCCTTGTATGATCTGGTGGAGGGTGATGTTCTCGTAGCGGCGATACGTGATGAACTCCTTCACACCTTTGATAAATCACGTTACATGACGGTCGTTGCAAAGAAAGAGGAAGCACCAACGCTGCATCACAAGCTTGAAGTTAGAGTCCGCGCCCCATATAGCTTTGGGGAAAACGGCCTTGGTCATCAAAACCGCATAACGAAAGACCTTTGACCGTGTCAGTTTCTCTACGTCGCTCCTCAAGTGGTGCTGGACAAACCTGGGCGTAGCTGCATGCGAATTCAGCAAACCTTGGCTTGCTCTTTACTGCGCTGCTGCCTTGCGTGGGCTCCCCCGGAGCGGCACGAATGGTGGAGGCAAGAGAAACGTCTGCCGGGTTCGATGATAGTTGAGACGGCATGATTATCGAATGTTCAGACATGAGTTCCTACAAAATATGTCTTAGTATGTGCTGCCATAGAGCACAGCAGATACCTACTAGGATGACGGAGTCGTCGAGTTTCTTCTGGTTTTCGTCTTTGAGCTAAGATTTGGAGTCAGTTGACTTGATAACGGGGACGTGAGGTCAAAGGAACCTTAGACGGGCATGCGAGGTCTCTCAATGCTTTAGGATTACACTTGCCGTTCATCCAGATCATCTTTTCCAATAAGGCTAGGACGGGCTTCACCCGTGTTGGCGTTTTGCATGACCATTTTCTCTACGAATGCTGGACATGAGTATGAGAACCGTGCGATAGAGGAACCCACATAGCAACATACCTTGATCTCCTCCGTTCGATCAGCATAGGTCGGCCCTTGTTGACTTTGGACGATCCATGGGTCTAGTGTAAACACACTCGCAAGGCCATACTGTCGAGGAAAGACGTATTTCGACAGAAGACGAGCATTATCCATTTGCTTTTGAGGATCCGGTAGTTCGTATGGAAGTTCTTGCTTCTGATCGCCGCGTTTACTCAGAGACGACGGGTTCATGATGTTCAGAATGTCTAGTGGTGTACAACGTGAGAATCTCTGCAAAGAGGGGGATATTGGTGAGACACACACGTTTAGGAGGAAGTCCGGCTATGATTCTGGTCGTGCGAGGAACGTAGTCAGGTCTCGCATAAAATAATCGCATCCTCGGTATCAATATGTCGACAGGCCTTCCTCTAAAAGCATGAAATGTCAAGGAGATAGCTTCAAGAAGGGTAACATAGCCACACACTTCTGATCGGGCTTGGTTGAAGGTTGTCGTGCCACTCGGGCACGTTTACGAGGGGGTTCTGTGGTGGGGTCTTTGGAATGATGTCGCTTTAGATTTGTGTCAGAGTGTTGGGGAGCGGTAGATTGTTCCTCCAAGAGATCATTCAATTGCATGTCTGGTGGCCTCCGGTGGAGAATCATGTCGCCGGTGACCTGACAAAGGCAATCATTTGGCAGCGCAACAAAGATGCTAGTTTCGGTGAGCAGATGCAACATCACGTCCTCGCCTACCCTGCAAAGATCTATTAGACGTTGAGCATGATTCAAGTTTATGAAATCTTACCGCTTGAGGAGTCGCTCCCATTCTGAGCTTTGAAGTGCGGTGACAATGGTGTTGACATAGTAGTTGGTCACTGCTATTCGCGTCATTCCCCGGTTCCCTCTACCTTTGTCCTCATTCGACTAAAAACAAAATACAATGGATTAGTGAGTTAGATGATAATGGTTACCCTTATGGAATAAATGTCTTACTTGTTTGTACCCTTCAGTTAGAACGTTCTTTACTCTCTTCGGGACAAGTTTCACGAGTGCTCGATCTATAACCTGCCCTGACTACACTGAGCTCCCCTAATTAAGCGTATACAAGGATTAACGCGTACCTCTGACATGCGAACCATTGGTTCTGCTGCTTTCAGATGCGGCGTATCAACTCCAAGGGATGCTTCTGGAAGCGCTACGAAGGTTTGAGTCAAGAAATCTTTGAAGGGCGACGGGTCGTTCTGTCGAAGTAGAAGTTCAATAACAGAGGATTGCTCTTCAAAGGCTAAAAGCCCCGAAATGTAGGATTGTAGATCCGTCACTGTTCCATAATATGCCTGAAGGATGGAACGGGTGATTCTATGGGTGGTTGACATAATATTGGCGGGTGTTTAGCAAGCAATCTGCTGTCAGCTTTGACAGCGCAGGTAGTCTCTGGATGGGAAAGTGTTGCAATATGCGATGTTGGGTATGTTGCTGTCGTGGTCCGTGGACAAGCTGGACAACTTGACCGCGAAGCTCTAGACTGGACGCGACACAAACGCGGCACGGTTTGCGCTCGGTTTGCGCCACAAGCGCGTATGCACGTGATCGGACCACACTGTGGCCCTAGTGGCACCAGTTCGACTACCGTGACGTCCACCACGAAACGTGCATTCGAGCAAATCTCTCATCTTTCCGAGAAGCAGGCTGGAGAGAAATGAGCACCATGCCACGAAACTCTATAGCAATTCTCACAACGGGAGACTAGTAATACTAATACAGGGGGCAACAGCAAGGCAACAGTCATCAGAATTCAGAACACGATAGCACGGGAAAATTGGGAGAGAATATAACTACAAGATAGAAAGAAAATGGTGTGAAGAAGGTAACGAGATGGAGGAATAGAACGCAGAACCAACGGAGGCCGATTATGGTAAGGAATTGCGAGTCGGCTGGAGAACGAGGTCACTGAGCGAGTACGATAGCGAGAATACTAGGAAAACACGACCAGAGGATAGCAAAAGTAGGGAAACACGACGAGAGGATAGCGGGGTTATCATAGCTAGGAAGTGGGTTGGAGTATTCAGTACAAGAACAGCGTAGAGAGTTCAACACAGCAGATTGATGAAAGAAAACAATAGGCAATGCCCGATCTAATCACGATAGAAAAGACAATAAACGATGCATCACCGACCCCTAATAAGGCCTTGCCCTCCTGGACGCCCTCCCCTCCGCCCTGACCGACATCTTCTCCAATGAGTTCGTCAGCCGATAGATCGCACCCTCCGACATCTCACGGGTTGACCAGGTCGCCGGCTTGAGGAGAGGGGAGAAGGTAGGCGTGGACTGAGTAGCGAGCACGACATCGTCGTCGTCGTCGCTCTCCTCGTAGTCGTCGGAGACGTCGGTGTCGGAGGAAGAAGAGTCGGGATAATGGACGGTGTTGTCCGAGAGTGAAGCGTTCTCCATCTGAGTGATGATCTCCTTCATCTGCGTGTCCTCCTGCCCTGCGACCGTGGAAGCAGAGCGAGGGCGGGACGTAGCACGAGAAGGAGAGGCGCGCGATTGGCGCGCTTCAGAGACGCGTCGAAGGGTTGGGGATGGGTAATGTTTCTTTGAAGAGACGGACGGGGCCTTGGGAGAGCGACCTTTTTCGGTGAGATGACGTTGGGCGCGCGTGAAAGAGGCGGCGGCCCTCTGGCGCAACAGACGTTCCTGCTCCATCTCCACTAAGTCAAGCTCTGACTTGTTGTCGACATCGTTGCGATCGACCATCTGGATGTCGGCGGCAGCGATGGTTTGGTTCAGATAGGGTTCGGGGGACGGGAAACCGAAGCTTTGATAGCATGCTGGGGGTGTCCAATGTTCACCGTAGGACGCGATCGACTCCACGAAGTGAGCATGGATGGACTTGGAGGTTTCGACTTCCATTGGAAGCAACGATGCGGTTTCCATCGACGTCTCGTACTATGAGAAGGAAGTTGTTCAGAACGGACATGCCAGCATACAGAAATAATGAACACGACGGGTGGCGTCAGTGCAGAATCAACGCACCTCATTGTAGGAGTAGGTTGGCACGAAGGGCAAGCCTCTGCTCATGCGAGCGCTGCGGAAGTTTGTGGGGTTTGGGCTGCGGTATGCAGACATATTGTTGATAGAGATGGAAGAGGGGTTCTGGGTTTAGAGGATTTGAGGGAGGAAAATGGACTTGTCAAGTCGCGGTGCAAGAAGAGATTTAGGAAAACGCGGTGCGTCGAGGGAGGCGGCTTTATATCTCTCCCTACCTGCTGATAAAGCGCAATCGCAGTAAAAGTACCGCCCGCCGTCCTCAGCTGTCCTGCAGCGATAAGTAGCCTCGCTTTGACCCTTGGATGGCACCGACCACGCGTGCTCACCACGGCACGCCTATTGACGCGACCTTCCTTTGTGCTCGAAGCATAATAGACGAGCGCCTACCTGCAGGCACGACCACGAGACAACAAGCACAGCCGGATGAGACAGGACTAGACGAATCGGCATGATGATCTGGATGTCCGGAAGAATTCGAAGAAAACAAAGCGAGAAGCTGCACATAAACAATAAACAACGCACTTCTTGCGCACACAGCCTTGCAGTTCGACATTGTTGAGCAGTACATCTACCAATTGTTTGCTGGCGAGTATGATAGTTATGGGATATTTGCGCGTTGCACAGATGTTTAAAGGGGCCATAGTGTAGAACACTGACTAGGGTGAGAGAGAAAAGTAGCTTGTAGCTTCGTGATATCGAATTCGATAATGCACGAGGCTGCGGTCCCGCAACTGAGTGGCGCCAGGGCCAAGTGATTAGTGTTGAGTGGCGGAAACTCGGTAGACATTGGAAGCAACAGTGAACAGCTTCTGATAACTCAGCTCGCAGAAAAACTGCTTAGCACCTATCCCAAGAAGATAAATCAAAGAACCGTCCTGCATGTCCGTGCAGCCTTTCCATGCAGATGTTCGAGATCCATGTGCAGGAGCCCGTCACCGGGGTATGCTCGATCGGACGACAAAGCAGTTGTATATCACCGCCATCGACGTTCGTACGAGAAAGATACAAATGAACACGCACAGCAAAACGGCAGAGCAAAGTAAATCCGTAGCCTCTATGGCATAGTCAGATACACGGCATGATTTTCAGGCATCATCGTTGAGTTCTTCGATCTTCGCAGACTTCACCTGCTCCACCAGACTTTCCGGAGTATCGTCCTTCAGTGCACTCTTGTCCCGGCTGAGCCATCCTGAGAAAATGGAGAGCCGAAAGTTAGACGTAATCGCCATGATGAAAAGAGACGAGAACGAACCTTTCAGCTTCTGGTTATGCTTGCGTTCTCGCTCCTTATCCATGGCTCGTAGACGGGCCAGCTCCGCTTTGGCAGCAGGTTCATCTGCGAACGATTTAGCTGGGGTACAGCGGAGAATAGGAGCACACGATGACGCACCAGCTGGGCTTTTCTTCATGATGTCTTCCAAGATCTTTTCCGCGCGCTCGAAATAACCTGTTTCTCCCAGGGCTTTCGCTCTCCGGAAGAGAGCTTTATAGTTATTCGGATTCTTTGCAAGAGTCTTGGAAAAGGATTCGTGAGTGGTCCATTGGAAAATCGCGGACGTCAAGGAACAGACCTTGTCTACACATTCAAGGACTCGTTTCCAGTTCGAATTCTTTATATGGCAGGCAGCCATGTTTGCATAGATCTTCTCAAGCATTTCGTCGGCCTAAATACGACCGAAGTGGCAGATGAGCGGATGAACGACGGGGAAGTTCCCGATGGTGCATTTACCTCTGTTTTCTCCTGAGTCTTGTCGCCAGACGAAGAGTCACCCCCAAGTGCCGATTGGAGACCAGACCTAGATATATAACATATGGATGGTGTATCTTCACGATCCCGTAAGATCGGTACTCACTTGTCTATGCCTTGCAGATAGAGCAGTGACTTTAGCCACACATAAGACGCCACATTCCATGAAGTATCTTAGGGACGAAACGAAAGCCTCACCATGTGATAAGCTTGCAGAGCTGAAAAGTAGAACACTTTTATTAGTGGCTGCCAATGGGTATCGCGACTATCACTCTATGCACCTTGCTTCACCTCTCCAGCTTTGAACGCTTGATCGCCGACATTCTTGTGCTCCTTCGCAGTGGCGAGCTTCACCAAGATGGGGTTTGTTGAGCCGGCCGCATCCATGAAGGAGATCTGGATAAGAGAGCTGGTTCAAGAGATGGTGTAAGAGTTGTGTCGAGAGCGACTCAAGAGTTGTAAAGGGTAGACCTGGGTGGACAGACACGCGGAGAAATACACAGAAATGTACAGAACATATATAGGCGCCCTAGATAAAGCGCCTTTAGCGCCCTGTCACGGCACGTGCTGCTAGTCACTGAACCAAGCCTCGCGAGGACTGTCGGCAGCGACGACGACGACTCGACACACATACAACTCAACTCTGACGACTGCCTTGGCCAGCTATGGCACTCATATCCACAATGCTCGGCTTTTCTGCGTTCGGTGTTGCTACTCGTTGCTGGGCCCTCGGTATTCAACACCGTCCTATCTATGACTGTATGTTTTGTTGTAATGCATGTTTGCTTCACCTGCTCACGGAGTTCGACGGTTGTAACATCTACAGGGCCATTGGGACATGTCCTTGTTGGATTAACTTTCGGTGGGCTGGGATATGGAGCACATCAGTGGGATATAAGGGCGTCAGAAATTCTTGCGGAGAAGCGTGCAGAAATTGCGGCACGGCGACAGAGGCAGATCGAGCGAATTGAGGCCCAGGGTCAGGCCGTCCTCGCAGAGCACGCACAACACTCATAAATTGGGGGTATGGTGGAGCACTGGGGCTAGTGATTGAGGAATGCATCAGACACGGTGAGTGGCCAACGAACATTCCGCTCGTTCATTCTAACACTCTTGAGCAGATATAGAATTCTCATCGTTACACCATTCATCGCGCTTTCGGATCTCTCAATCAGTGTTCTGGTCCGCTTTATCTTCCCATGTCCCTACGTCCTAGGAAGGGGCGTCCTGCAGCATCCCACACAACCCCATATCGCAATCCAACTATTGTGCAATGCTTGGCAGCCCGATTGTCATTCCTCTACTTTCTGAGAAGCTCCAACTAAGTGCTCGCGACTGAGCGTCTTCGCGGTGCGCCCTTTCCTAATGTCTGTGTATCTGTATTGCACCTTGCGCCATAAATCCGGGGTGGTAGAAGACTGTCGTCCTTAGTACTGCAGTCCGTCGACGGGTCTCGTTGCGCCCAGATGCTTCCTTTGGGCACAGTTTCGTAATGTCTGCCAAGCTGCTGATCTGATCTTTGCGTTGAACTCTTGAGCATGGGATCGCTTGCGACTTTGCACTCATGCCATCAACCAATGCCATTCGGCGGGTAGTTGGAAACTGGGTGCGAGAACACACTACCCTATGTCTTGACCGGTCCTATCCAGGTGTTTTCAGCTTCCTGTTTACCTAACCTGTAAACGCAGCCCGCTCAACCGGAAAAATGTCTCTTGACAATCAAACACACGGCGACCATGCAACTGTCGAACATCCTTCGACGTTCCATTGCGAAGGGGGGTTTCCACTTTGTTCGGCGCTGGATTTCTCACCAAGAACGGTGCAGTGACAGATGCAACTCGACGGTGTGCGGCGCGGCATCTCGTTCCTAGTACCCACCCATGCAAAGTCACAGCTTGGCACATCATGGCTTCGACCATGCATGGACTTTTGGGACAAAGTCTGCGCCTGTCTTCAAGGATCATTTCCACGGGCATCCAGGCAGAGCTTGGCCAGTCTCAGACTCGTAGTTTTCGAAGTCAGGTATCGGACAATTCATCACACCGGACGAGAAACGAAAGTAATAATACAATAATACGAGAAAACGAGGGAAGGAATTCTGCCTGCTTCCTGCAATTTTGGAGCTTCAGTTGCTAGTGCTGCTTGCTGGCAAACTAAAGGTCAGTTCCCTTGAACAGTACACGAGGCCGTAAAGATACTCACCATTGCCAGGAAGATCTCCTTGGAGCAACACCATGCGACATCACTGTGGTTCTCTCGAGCGCGCGGGCCCATCTGAGGGAGGACATGTGCCGCAACGTGTTGTGTCAGGCGGATGCGATGATCAAAGGCCAGGCAAGTAGACTCACGGATGATTGTGAGGTGTTGAGACGTTGCAGTGATTGCCTCGTTGGCGGAGGCGTTTATGGACTTCGTCCACGCACGAGCGTCGTACATCAACGGTGGTGGGAGCGAGGTGAAGTGTCCCTCAGAGTTGCGGACCGTCACCGTCTTTGGCGGTGTTACTTTGGCACGTCCTGTGAACAGAACATATGACGGAAGAGGGGTTGTTGAGGTGGATGGCGACACGGGCGAGTGTGGTGGTGAAGACCCAACAGACTTCGAGCTCGAAGCTGCTGAGTGCGGTATCGGTGAAGACGAGCTGAAGTTCTTCGTCGTGGTGGAAATATGTTGCCTAAAAGCCTGAGCACGCATTGTGGGCGCCGATTCGCAAAGCAGACGAGCAAAATGCGGGGTGCGGGGAAGGCGAACAATGCGGTGCTCCACAACGCCTGGAGTTCAAGGGAAGACAGACATCCCGCGCTCGCAAGTCCGAGACGATTTATGTATCATTGTCCGGTGCCACATCGGGTAAGACCGTTGACCCCAACAGGTCGCACGACAACTATCTGGGAGGGATCGCGACTGTCTCGGGACCCCGACTTAGCCCCGATGGTCAACTTCTGGGAACGAAGAGAGTAAACAACAGTACACGCTCCCATCCTGCCTAGAACGAAAGGTTCCGGGTAACAAGGCGGGGCGAGGCGCACGGGATAAACAGGCGTTTAAAGGGAGTCCGGTCGAGCTCTGCGGGATGGTGATCACGGGGTGTGGAACTTGACAGGGAAGTCCTGCATGTGAAAGTATACAGGAGCACAGGCAAGAGACTCGTACACAGCAGTGCGGCCAACTCATCGTTCAATGCTAGATACCCATGATATAGAGGTGAAGGTATCAGTAGCAATGCCCGGATGGTCCTGGGATTCAAAGACACGCTCGAAGAATGCTCGACCCCCTTTCCGGTGTCAACCAAGGCAAGACTTGGTGATCAAGGCGCCTCTGTCGTTCGGCCCTGTGTCCCGATCATCTCTCGCCGGCTGCGGAAGGAATATTGCATGCCAAGACCAGCCAATTTTGGAGAAATAATGTGTTTTGAATTCAAAGGCGAGTGTCCAAACCATGGAAAGGTCAGGCCCTGGTAGCTCATTCAAAAAGTTGACTGTACCATCCGCATATAATAATACATGACGAGCTTCGTGCCCCTGTCGTATATGACAAGGGGATGTTCAAAACTATATCAACTCGATCTGAGATGGTGGAGGAGGAGTTCGACTGCAACGCACAAAATTGGTCGGACAAGTCTCCTACCAGCGGATCCTCCTGAGGCTATGACCACTGCCAGGCCTTCGACAGATTACGGGGATACTTAAGTGCCCAGAAAAGTAGCTTATAAAACGGTAAACGGTAACTCAGGTGGATGAACTACAGCGGGTGATGGTGGATAAGTATGGAAGGGAATTGATGGAAGTATACTTATCACTGCCGGTCGAACGTCCTACAGTGTGGCGACTACAGTAGTAGGAAAGGAGGAAGGAGTGGCGCTCAAATCATTTCCAAATTCCGGGTCTAGCCGAACATTGTGGCATTGTCAGATTGTGCCATTGTGGCCCACGCTCAGGCTGTTGATTGAAGAGCATCATAACGAGTTCCACCTCAAACCATCACTTTCCCGTCTAACTTACCTCAATGGTCTTACGAGTAGGCTACGGTATGTGTGCTCTATACTATAGAGCCCCAAGACGATCACCTTATTTGCTAAATTCTTTGATTAAAGTGCGGGAGCACTTCAGCTCGCCTTTGCTTCAATATGCCCAGGAGGACAAGGACCAGACCTTTACGCTTGTAGAATGCCCGAGCAAGTACACATTCATCTAAACGAGTAACGGTTTCTGGCCTCTAACCTTGACAAAATCAGGTGGTACCGGTCAACTTATCTCGAGACTCTCGAACGACGAGATCGATATAGCAATGTACGCTTATTGTCGAACTCATTCTGCCCACCCCCTGATCTAGTATCGGTACGGGCTCTAGTGCGTTGACCGATCCTTTGATCTCTGGTATCGCGAAGGGCTCGACTCAATACAAGCTTGTTGGAAGCTATGTGACAACCCCCTTGAACTGGTTCGTCCAGATCATCCCTTTCACGAGTTTCAATCCTCCTCACATTTTGACTGGCTTCGCATGTTAGGGCAGTCATCACAGGTAAAGATGCACCATATAAGGAGATCCAAGACCTCAAGGGAACACCTATCGGTATCTCGCGACACGGAAGTGGAAGTGAGGTTATGGCGTATGTGATGGGTTTGCAGTACGGATGGAATACCGATGAGCTTCAGTTCAAAGGTACGTGGCTCTGCTTCCATGGAGGTACGGGCTGGTAACTGACCGGTGTTCTCTTTGATGAAGTGAACAACGACATTCGTGGTTTGATTGATTCCGTGAACGATGGTTCAACGAGCGCTTTCATGTGGGAGTGGTTCACCACTAAGCCATACTCCGACGCAGGAGAAGTCCGCTTCGTAAGTGATCTTGCCTTTCATTGATTCGTATCGTTGGCGTCATGACATTGTATCTCTGATATAGATTGGTTCCGTACCTACTCCTTGGCCGTCATGGCTCATCGCCGCTCACCCAGACCCGAAACGCGCCCCGACAGAGGCTGTCAGCAAATTCCTCGCGACGTTGACTACCTACGTTCGAGCTTTCGACTCTCCTGAGAAGCGCGCCGGTGAGAATGTCTCGTTCATCAAGGACAAGTTCGGGTATCCCGAAGAGGACATCACAGTGGGTCGCTTCGCTAGCTGACCACATCCTCTTGAGGGGAAGTTTCAATGATGTTCTCGTTAGGCATGGATGAAGACGGTTGGATACCCAGAAGACTGCGCCACCATCCCAAAGCATGTCTTGACAGACACCCTCGAGTAAGTGCTACTATTCTTATCTTCACCTTTGTATGTCCCAACTACTGTGGGCTGACATATGCCGTTTGCCCATTAGTGTTCTGGTGAAAGCCGGTGTAATTGTATCGCCAGCCGAGGGTGGTTTCGATCTCAACAACTTTGTGGACACGCACGTCGTCAAACTCACGTGAAGCCCTGGAAAGAAGAATAAACGCAGGTTGTACACTATTCGTATGTGTTCCGATCTCCAAGGTGTATTCGTTGTATCGTTATATTGGTTAAATATGGATGATGGACTGCCCACATCAAGATCGACTTTAGAAAAACTAGTCAATATGTGGTATGCTTGTCATGGTAATCTCGGATCACACCGCGTTGTTCAGGTACTTCCTATTCTATCTCCGAGCAACGTCATCAAGAGCGAGTTTGTTGACAGCCTGCCATTAATTGTCCGGATGATGGTTCTACGACCTACGACTCCCTGAAGAGCGCCGCATCCTGCGGCCCCTGACGAGTACATGCTTTTCGACCTTGCTAGCTTAAGGGACTGCACACAACTATACTCACAAGTATTCGGTATGCCATATATTCACAGATCTCGACTTACACACCCGTTCTAGATGTCAAAATGCAACTGCGGAATTGTTGTCGCCAAGGGTCTGTCGCGGTCTGAGTATGTGCTTCATGCAGAACACGGGATAAACTCCTCCGGGTCCTCAAACGACTACAGAGCCAAGACCGTCCATGTTGCGACGATCCCCATGTTCTCGACTTTTGAAATCCAATGGGTGCAAAGGCTATAAAGGTAGATCGGTCGGAATCGTTTTCAATCCATTTGCCTTTTCCTTGCCTTGCTGCTTTTCGCGGGACGAAACTCGACATTCGCTTTCACCTCACTCAGCTGCAGCCATGGCCAGCTTATCCACTCTTTTTGTGTTCACTTCCGTTTACTATTTCGTTCGTCTCGATGCCGTTCTCGCGACGACGGTTTATATGGCCGGTGATTCTACAATGGCCAAGGGTGGCGGTGGTTCTGGTACCGATGGTGTGTTCCTTGTCCACTCTTAGTTCGGGGCGATCTGACTTTTATTTGTAGGATGGGGGGAATATCTGGGCCAATACCTCAGTGTGTCTGTCGTCAATGATGCAATCGCAGGAAGGAGCGCCAGGAGTTACACCGAGGAAGGCCGGTTCGATACTCTCATTGACACGGTGCAATGTGGTGACTATGTTATCATCGAGTTTGGCCATAACGATGGATCATCCGGTACTACTGACAACGGCAGGGTGAGCTGTCCGCTATCTCGTACGCGGGTATCTTTTGACTCATGAGATGTGGGCCTCCCTTAGGAAGAAGCTGTAGGGTCTGACTATGATCTTACAACTACGGTTACGGAGACAAAGTGCGCGTAATATGCTCATATTCACTGTGTTTTCTAGCTAAAATTCCATCTATCCGAAAGCGGCTCGACGACTACCATCCACACCTACGCCTATTATATTCAGAACGCTGTGTCATCCCTCCAAGCCAAAGGCGCCTTCCCTATCGTCTCCTCACAGACCCCCGACAACATATGGAACACCGATGGCTCTCTCTCTGCCAGCTCCCGATTCGTCTCTTACGCACAGGAGTCCGCCACAGCTACTGAGGCTGACTACGTCGACCACAATTCATACGTCGCGCAGGCGTACGAGAACTTAGGCGAGACGACCGTCGGTACTTATTATCCCATTGACCATACGCATACGTCAGCGACTGGGGCGAACGTCGTGGCCGAGGCCTTTGTGCGGGGATTGTTGTGCGGGAATAGCTCGTTGGTGGATCTAGTGAATGATGCTGGTCAGGCAGTCCCCAGTACGTATCATTGAGTACCCCCTTGGACTTTGCGATGAAGCGTCAAGAAACTGACGTGCATCCTCTCAGATGTTTGCCTCTGATCCCGTCTCGGTTCTAGCGAGTGTTGACTAAATTTGTCCTTATAATGTGGCTACTCTGGTCATCGACATGGACACATTGGACGACCAATCTTTGACAGCGTAAGGTCTGGCTGTGGGAGACTTTGAAAAATGAACCCGTCCTAGCCGTTCCACAATCTGCACACAATTACCGTCCGATGGCTTTCTTTCGACTTTGTCCCCTCCTGCCCTTCTCCCAGACTATTCAAAGGATATTAGGAGCTGAAATCGCTAGGACAGACTGGGACGGCCTGAAGTGCCCTCGAAAAATAATCCCAAAAGTGACTCTTGTTACAGACTTAGCGTACATCACCAGAACCAAATCAGCACAGTCCGAGGGCATGATAAATGCTACGCGCAACATCGTGGTATCATAATCATAGGCTCTCTAGCGCTTCCTCTTCCTTGACCTCTCCGACCCACCTGATGCACTCAAAGTCGGATTTAAGCCAGCACCCGAACCAACCGGGGTAGCGTCCGCTGGCGCGAACCCTTTGTTGACGCATTCGTTGCAGTACCAGCTCTCGGGCAGTGGGGGTTTGAGATTTACGCATGGAAGATGGAACTATATAACACGGATCACGTATACAATGGAGGGATAAAATGGTCAATGAGGCAGTTCAATGAGTGAGGAAAGTAATCTATGAACTGACCCATTCGTATGGACAGTTTGGATTGTCGCATGCAACCATCTATAAAAGTAGCCAAGTGTCACGGTCAAAGATCAGCGATGTACAACCAGGCCACAACCGTTATCATTACCTCGCCAAATGATGTGCGGTGGCACACGCAGTATATCCTGTCGTCGTCCACATCTGCCTCGTCGACACCCTCTAGATCGTCTTCTCCTTCGGCATCTTCGTCCCCGCCATCTACAACCATGGGTACAGGAGTTGGAAGTTTCGGTGGTTGATGTTGCTGCTGACGCGAGGGACGACCTGGAGAGGGGCGGTGCGCTGTTGCAGAAGGAACAGATGGTACGTGTCGCTGGGGTACGTTGAGAGTCGCAGGTGCTGGGCTGGGGAGTTTGATCGAAGGGATCATGACTGTCGATGCGGTTTTTCTGACGCCTGTGTATACCGTGTATCCATCGAGTCAGTCAAGTACAAGGCAGAGGATGTATGTATGTTTGAAAGAGACGTACGTTTATTGGTCGCGGTGGCGCCCGGTATTGCGGAAGCGACCTGCTGTTGATGTTGTTGCTGTACTGGGACGGCCAGCACTTCGGCTCCAGCCATTGCATTCCGCAAGCTCTCGTTCATCATCTGCACTGGATTTCTCATACTTCCATGTCCAGCTCCTGCATACCCGCCTGCCCCGGCTCCGACTCCCAATCCTACTCCTCCGACTCCAGAGCTACCACCGCCAGCACCCGACGAAACTGCACCCACCCCGATGCCACTATGACCACCGCCTAATCCAGCCACAGAATTCAGTCCAGCAGCAAGAGTCGGGGCTGCGCTCAGCGTAGGAGGTGGATGATTTGGGTCCAAGTCGCCCTGAAGAATTAAGACCTTCTTCAGATCATGGTCCAAGCGAGCTCTCGTCCTCGCCATCAATGAGTTCAACTTCTCAGTCAGCTTGATCTTCTCGTTCGCAAGTTTCTCGAGCTCGTCATAATCGTGCTGTACTCTGTCGGGTATTTGTTCATCTTTAGCTGTGAAGGGTCCTGATGAGGAACCGACGCCGCTAGAGTTCGGCGTGGGCGCTGAGCTGGGGTTGGCGGAGCGGAGTGAGTGGCGTAGATATCTGCTTGACTCTTTGTTGATCGTCTCCTGCAGTTCTGGAAATTGAAAAGTGTGAGAAGGCGAGGCAACTAGCGTGACAGACACAGAGCAGAAATCCGATGGCGGTGTAGATTTCCACATTGATGGGAAGTACATGGGCTAGTTTCGATGAACACTTCACGCTCAATGTGATGTGAACAGAGCATGTTTGAACCGCTCTGCAACGTGAAAGTCCTGATGCCTGATAATATCCAAAAGTCCTCGGGAGTAGGAACTGTATCCTCGCAAGATTGCGAGGACTCTTGAAGAGAATACAGCCTGCAACTTGTCTGTCCGTCTCCCGTTATGACACTAATATGAGCTGAGACAGCTGTATTGCGCCAAAGCGATAAATATGCTGGGCGAACTCGAGCACACATTTGTTCGGTTTGTCTCCACCAACATGATGGATACTTGTCCGCGAAAGTAGTGAACGGGATGAGTAAGTATCTGTATAAATTGACTCGCCTTGTTGGCGTAAATCCTTGTACCTGATTTCGTCAAGAAGGAACTTCACTTCTTGTGCCAGGTTATCAAGACCTATGCACGAAGAAAAGTCACTTTGAATGAGCTATCGACTTGATGCACCGTCGCTAATTTGATTTCAACTCACTGGCGATATATTCTGCCGCAATATTGGCCGCCTCTTCCATGTTGACCTGAAAATTAATAAATCCTGTACCTTGCTCTGTCCGAAAAGGCGCAGCCTCTCTGACCCTGAGGACGGCGATGTGAGAGTAAGAAAGAAAGAAGGTGTGGCGCCCGCATGCGCGTCTCGCGAATTCAACGCCAGTCCGGAAAGCCCCGGCGTGTCGAGTGGCGATCATTCTCACGGCTGGGTTGAAGCAGCCTCTTCACTTCATCCACCATCACCGCCTGCCTTACCACCGGAGTCGTCCCTGGTATATCCTAGTGATGCAATCCTCAAGGCTGAATATCCTACGATGCAAAAATAAGCTGCCTGTGAGTCTGAATCTTCGTCTTATAGCAACTACCTCATCAACTTAGCAGATCTTCCGACAAGGACCTTCCCCATGTCTGAGTCGCCGCGCAACATTTCACAACCTCACATGGCCTCAAACTACTTCGTTGGCCCATTTTTCCTCCCTGAAACCTAAGTCAAAACACGGTCTACCAGGGTCTTCCTTAAACTGGAGGCATATGTCGACGTCGTCGGGTCCTCGTCCACCCAGGTTCGTCAATGCTAGAGACATCTATAAACAGAGAAATCGGACACTTATGATGTACACATCCGCTGTGGTACGTCTTGCGTTATATTCCTTCGTTTCTATCTGCTGCTTCTCGACTCCCTTTTCATGCTCATACTCCTTCGGTCCTATTCATTCATTCGCTCGCCTGCCCACCCCGATTGCACGACGTCTCATCTTCACAGATAGTACTCGCAGTAGGCGTAACCTACGCGGCTGTCCCCCTCTATCGCATGTTCTGCGCCGCTACCGGTTTTGCCGGTACTCCTGTTGTCGGCACGGGAAAATTTGAGCCTGAGCGCCTAGTTCCGGTCGACAACGCTAAGCGCATCAAGGTGCACTTCAACGCAAATAGGTCTGAACAACTGCCTTGGAAGTTTACACCGCAACAAAAGTATGTGAGCGTATTGCCTGGAGAGACAAGTTTGGCATTCTACAAGGCGAGAAATGAGAGCAAGGAGGACGTGATTGGTATTGCGACGTATAATGTTACACCGGATAGGGTGAGTCAAACATTCTTCTTTGAAGGGGTTGCCTTTTGGCCGTAACGATGTCCATTCCTCATAGTCCAAGACTAATATGGGACATTTGTAACCTTCATTGATACACTGGCTGTTCTTGTAGATTGCGCCATACTTTGCCAAAGTAGAATGCTTTTGTTTCGAAGAGCAAAAGCTTCTAGCAGGTGAAGAGGTGGACATGCCCCTTTTATTCTTCATCGACAAGGATGTCCTGGATGACCCTGCCTGCCGAAACTTGGATGATGTTGTTCTGTCATATACGTTCTTCCGGTGCGTCCTCCCGCCGTCACTTCATCGTTCATGAACCTACCGCGTCGGACTTACTTGGTGATGCAGTGCAAGGAGGAACTCACGAGGTCACCTCGAGCCTGACGCCCCGGAGGATGTTGTGCAGGCCTCACAAGGCTTTGGAGACTACGAGCACGCGCCGAAGGCTGAAGACCGTGCCGACGAGAAGAATAGGTCGTCGTGATCATAGTTGTTGAGTGTTATCGTGACGAATACCAGCAAACCATCACTCAGTCTTGTTGCGGGCTCAGCATTTCGGAAAGAATCTTACGATACTGAAGATAGCGTTGTTCCAGCCTGAACCATCGCTGCACTCGGTTTATCTCTTGATACAGTACAATGTCTCATAATGCATAATTCAGAGAAAATTGCAGATAATGAGAATGTCCTCGATACCTCAGAGACGAGTATGCAGGCCTCAGGGGATCTACTAGGCCATTTGCTTTCCTTAGTGACACTTGTCATCTGGAGGGGTCAGTGGAAAGCGAGGAATATTTTATGATTTTTATGATTTATGCATTATGAGATTTTCGACTGTAATGTTGTGGAAGACATACTACCTCCTGCCGACGTACGTGCCCCTCGGCTATCAATCTTCGATCTTGAACCATATACCAACGTTGAGCGGGAAGTCAAATAGTCCCCCCGTGTACTGCAGAACGTGATGTGTGTACTGGTCGTCAGTCCCAGGTGGCCAATGTCGCTGTCTTCCATCATCGGCGGTAGAAGTTTATAAGGCTGGTAAGGCCGCAAAGCCCGCTACCTCGACGATGAAGCCAACTTATGCGCATATACTCATGTGTTCGGAGGACGGTGCTGCACACGAGTAGTAGCTAGGGGAATAGATAATGGGCGCAAGTGACGACGGTGCTAGCGTTACGATGTCAAGTCATATCAAGAAAGGGCGAGACACCATCGACAATGATACCCATGTGTTTCGATCGACATTTATCTTCGCGCTCGTCTCGGTGGCAACACCACGCTCCATTTCTACTTTCAAGAGGGGCTCGTGTCGATGTTGAGGCTGGTTTCTTTCCCTGAGGGTCCGCTGGGGCGCGTACTTATTTGGTCGGCGCAAGGTTGCACCTACATACGGCCTCGCCGAAAGTTGTGGCGAGGTGGGGCACTTATATTATTATTAGCAGCACTGCTTTCGCAAAGAATCCGTGGCCCACCAACTTTTGAAGATGTGCGATACAAGACAAAGTAGCGAAATTTCAGAGATGTCGGTAAGGTAGCGCTTCCTTCTGGTGCGGCGACGTCGAGCGACGTTGAAGTCCACAAATTGAAACCCCGCGTCAACAAATCATAAGCGCGCGCACCACGTGTTCATACCTTGTACTTGCCTTGTACTTGCCTTGTACTACGTATGTTTCCGCCTTGTTCCAGCTGACCCTGAGTCTGCTATTCTTGGTTTTCCTCTCGTATCGCGTGCCTGCTGGCCAGATGCCAGTGGGGAAGAGGAGAGTAGATAAAGGCTATCCCATACTGTATGTTTCTGTTCGCGACCCCCGCACAGTCATCTCCTCACGCCTCCCTAATCGATTGCTTTGTTATGCCGCCAGGCTATACCTCGAAACTAGCTACAATTCCAGAGGATACCACTGACGCTTCTATCCAGGATACATCGCGGCCTAAAACCCCCCCTAACGTCTCCTACTTTACTTCGGAGTGACTATAATCTGAGTACCGACCACCCTGCGGTTGGAACGCTTCTGACTTTGATACTTGCTTCATAACACAGGGAACGAGATACAGAGTACTCCAGGTCAGCGGTGAAAGTCTGCAGATGTTTTAACGTTTTTGGTCTGACATCCACCGTCCTAGCGAGAGCTACTTTAGGGGGCTACAGCGGCGAAGATCATAAGACGGACATTGTTCGTCCTCAATTGAAGAAGGATATGGAAGGCTCACTCGTCACAGGACTCCCTGTCGAAGACTTCGTTAAGGCTGTCTGGGGCCTTGACCGGGCCAAGCTCCATGAGAAAGAACATACACCCGGCCTTTCAGCCGAAGAGGTCGCTCGATATCATTCCCCGCGCCTTGAAACCACTCGTTACATCCCGTTCACCGCTATACTTGCCCAACTCCTCCTGGACTACATCAGCTACATGCGCCAGCATAATCACCTAGACGAAGTCGATCTTCCGTGCGGGGTATTTTTTGAGGCGCGTTTAGGACATGATGTTGTACATGGTGGTGATGGGTCTCAGCGAAAACCCGATGCGGCTGTCACAGCTCAGATAGGCGAAGCCGTTTTTGCGAGACTGCGAGAGATTGGCGATAAGAGCGCACGGATGGTGCTTACGGCGAAGGACAAGCTTCGCGAGGGAGTTCGTTTGGTATGGGAGTACCTGCTCGCTTTCTTCGAGTTCAAGAAGAAAAAGAAAACCAACAGCTTTGACAATGAAGAAGGACCAACTCTCGACACGCGCGCTACGGTCTCAGAACTACCACCTCGCAAGCACGCTCTCGACACCTCTGATGATCCCAGCCCAGCGCCTAAACGTCGGAAAGGGCCATCCTCCAAGTCCATCTCTGCCCTTCCAATTGTCCCGATTCCTCCAGGCCCTTTGCCCGTAACCTCGGCAGGCGATTCAGACTCTCGGGAGCTTGTGGATACTCGCAAAGTATTGAACGACGACGAGCTACAAGCAGCTGATTATGCTCACGAAAGCCTTCGAACTGGTCATCGGCGGTATTCCACAGGAATCTTCATCGACGACGATATCGTCACCCTGTGGTACTATGATAGAATGGGCGCCGTACGGTCGAAACCCTTCGACTTCGTTCGGGAACCGAACAAACTACTCGCAGTCGTCATTGCCCTTGCTAGCGCTACCGTCACAAATTTCGGGTTCGAGCCTATGATATGTACTCCGGGTCCTTCAGCCTCGTTGCCTCCCCTAGCACCCGTAAAGGGCAAAAATTGGAAGGCAGTAGACCTTTCACGCTCCAAAGACCCTGTCATGCGCAAAAGGGTTCGTCAAATCGCTGAACTCACGAAATTATACGACAGATATCGAAAGGAAGTCCCTCCGGACGAGAATTTGACCGACTGCTACTTCCGCATCTCATGCCGAGTCAACCTCGCTGACCGACCTTTATTCGAAGTGCCGTCTTCGTCGCCCTCCCGAGTTGCTGCTACCAAATCTTCTACATCATTCCTCTCCTGGATATGGCCCTCGTCGCGACCGAAGACTGAAACCGTCCCACCACGATCGGACGTCGTTTTCAAGATCAAAGGGAGACCTCTCTATGTGCAGGACGGTTTGGTCGGAAGAGGGACCGTAGTTCTTCATGTGGAGATTGAGGAGGACGAAGAATATCAGTTTCCTCCCGATATCATCACCAAGATAAGCTACCCCCCGAGGAGTCGCATCCCAGAAGATAGTATCATTCGACATGTTCGATACTGCATTCCCGAGAGGTGGAGGAACCACGTCACAGGCCTCTCATGCTCCACGACTCTTTCGATGCCAAGAGAAGACGATTCCTTGACGGAAGGAGAGAAGAATGCAGCGGGCTCTACAGATGATGATCTTTTGGAGATCCCTCGAAAGGACATCATGGTCGCCGTTCGCGCCCGTATCAAGCGGCGTGATCAAGAGGATCTAGACGAAGAGGAGCGGAGGGAATTATCGGACGCCTTCATCGGACCAGAGTACGAGGAACGCGTCCTTCGCGTCCTTGTTTGTGAGAAGAATCTGCCGCTGAACCGGGTCGAAAATATAGATGAGTTCATGTCGGTTTTCCTGGACGTCGTGAAAGGTGACTCCTTCAGAAAGATTGGTGATAGAGGAGACTGACATGCCCTTCTTAGCTCACTATGTCGTGTACACGAAGGCCGGTATACTCCATCGCGATCTGAGCGTCAACAACATCATGTTCAAGAGGGATCCCTCCACCAATCGCGTCATTGGCGTCCTCAATGATTGGGATCTAGCGATTCCCGTGAACCGTTCGGAGTACAAATTCGAGAAGCCTACTTCTTATCATCGCACAGGCACCGCCACATTCATGTCTATCGAATTGCTCGAGGACGAAAACAGGACGATCCCGCACCTTTACCGTCACGATCTTGAGTCCTTTATGTGGACACTTATTTGGTGCGCGTTCAACTTCCTTTTCCACGGTGTTGAAGTACCCTACAAGTTACGGGACGCTGTGGTTCGGGACTGGGTCAATATAAGCTGGCAGCGCATCCGTCAATCGAAGAGGGATTTTCTAGGAATAGTCACCAAGGCACTCGCAAAGACGACGAAGGTTATGCAACCGTTGGTGCGAAAGATCCTTGGACCTATTTCTCATAGTATGGCCCGCGCATTTCTTGAGCGCGACCAGAGCCAGGAATCATTCGACGGGCCAGCTCGTCTTAGGATCACGAGGACGGACTTCTTCGACGACTTCTTCACCTTCGATTGTTTCATGGAAGTTCTCGAACCAGAGGTGGAGGACCCGGTGGCTGCTTTATGGGAGGAGACGTGAGGGTACGGTTACGCTATTTTCCAGTCCACTTTCATTCCGAGCGTTCCAGTCAGGTCTGCGATTCGCTCGAGGCATTTATCAATATTCACTTCGTCTTCTTTCCACCCACAACCTTAATGTTTGCTTATTTATACATATCATGGAGATTCACACCAATTTCGTATTCTGTCCGGTTTACTGACGCTTTTGTACCTTTGTTTTGACATCGCCCTTCGACTACAATCATACTCACCGGCCGTGTGGCAGCTACGTTACCTTAGCATTTAGTACCTCTCTAGATTAACCTTTTGCTGTCGACGTATATTTCTGCTTCCACTCTGTTCGCTATATCGCCGGCAGGGTGGCACATAAACCTCGTTGAGTGTGGTCGGGTCCTCAAGTAGTTCACTGGGACGCAGTCCATTGACAAGATAGATTGCGAAAACATATGCATATGTTGCAGAGGCGATAAATAAATAAGATATACGAGAGGAGGCTGCACGGATGCTCAAGGTATAGAAGGTAAGAAATGTAAGTGGAAGATCAATTCCGAGCGACAAGCAATCCAATCCAAGAAATGAGAGACATGCTATAAAACGACCACAACGAATGAAAGTGAAGGAAGAAACCAAAGGAATGCATTTTACCAAAGTGTGAAGAACGAATCGCATGGAGTCCGTTTCTGAACCGTCCGCCCCACTAGTTCATGCACGCTAGGACCAAGACCCTTTTTCTACACACGCCATCCCTCCGACTACTGTGGTGGATGTCGTGGACTCCCTGTCGCAGGAGGTAGCCTTGGCGGTTCTTCCCCTCCATCGATCGGTCTCGGGCCCAGCGGCGAGCCATTATGCGACGAGACCCTACTCTCCCCATTGAACCCCGCATTTGGCGGCTGAAGGCCCGGGTCAAATTGCGAGAAGCGATTATCGAACCCAGGCGAGCCCCCTCCTCCGGTCATCTGCATCGGCATTCCACCCATACCATGCATGCCCATGGGCGTCATCATCGGGTTCATCATCGAGAACCTGGGGTCGTACCCGCCCATACCCGTCATCATAGGGCTCATAGGCATCGGACTCGCTCCTCCCGTCATCATAGGGTTCATAGGGCCCATCTGCCCCGGTCCAGGACTCCCCGCCCCTCCTCTTCCTCCCTCTCCTCCGATCTGCGAGCCACCTGCCTGGGAAAACGTCATCATGGCCTGCTGGTACGCCTGTGCCGCCGCCTGCTGAGCCGCCATGATATGTTGCTGGTTTCCGTATCCGGGGACCATGCCAGGATAACCCATGTAACCGCCCATCATAGGATTTCCGGTCATCATAGGGTTCATGCCGGTCATCATCGGGTTCATCATCATCATCGGGTTGAAGGCGTTGTACCCTTGCGGGGCACCGTACATCGAGCCCCCCTGCTGCTGCACGAACTCGAGCTGCTGCCGCTGCAACTCGTCGATCTTCCGCTGTCGCTCCTCCGCCATCCGTTTCTCCCGTTCGCGCTCGGTAAGCGCAGCCCCGACGCCGCCCTCGCGCTTGCGATCGCGTTCGTGCGCGGTGATGGCCCCGAGGAGGCCGGTCTGTGGAGGCGGAGGCTTGTTGGGAACGTTGATGAGGGACGCGCCGGTCTCACGCGCGAGCTCTTCCTGCTTCTTGGCCGAACGCTCGTTCTTGTCTTGGAGACCGGCGGAGAGGAGACCGTGAGGGGTGAAGGCTTGGGTCATCGTTTGGGAAGCAGGCTCGATCTGGACGAAGGTGCCGTTTTTGTCAGGTTGTTGCGGGGCGTTGCCGAACTGGTTCCAGATGGTTTGGCTTTGGCGAGGAGGCATGGGGCCGTGCGCGGCAGAGCCTAGGTACTCTGAAGGTGCTCTGGTGGAAGGAGGACGAGGCAGATCGTTGTACATCGTGGAGCGGCCAGCTTCGGAGTACTGATCAGGGATCATTTGGCGGGGAATGGGTGCGTGAGGTTCTCCAGGCTCGAAGCCTATAGTCAAGCATTAGGACGAACAACGGCGTGGAAGCGAAAAAGAAAACGATGAATGAAGGGGATGCGCACCTTGAGGTCTCCCACCAGGAACCTGAGGCAAATTCCGTGGAGGACGTAATTGACTCTGCCCATACTGCCCCTCCCCTCCTATCTGACCCGCAGGCGATGGTCCCCTACCCTGCGAGTAAACCGAATGCGCCGCAGACCTCGCAGGGCTCGCGCTCGCACCCTGTACCGACCTCGGGGCCGTCGCCCTCCCCCTCGAATCCGCGCCTCCATCCGAATCCACATCCTCATCGTCTTCTTCTTCCTCCTCTTCCTCCTCCTCCTCATCACTACTATCCCCCCACGCGCCCCCAGACTTCGCCTTCGTCTTCCTATCCTTCCCGCCATTCACCCGTCCCGGCCGATGCACAGCGTCCTGCTGCGCAGCCTGCTGAGCCTCCGACTTTGCCTTCCTCTGCATCGCGTTCTTCGACGGCGCGAAAGACGACCTATACTGCGAGGCCGCATCGCTACCGGGAGATGGTGCCCTCTGCTGGTCGTTTTCGGGCTCGACGATCGTCGGGTTAGGAGCTCCGGTGCTGGGCTGAGGGTTGGCATTGGCGTCGGCGACCTTCTGCGCGACGGTCTGTGAGTCTTCGCCTTGATCCAAGAATGAGAGAGCGGCCAAGGCGTCCGCGGTATCGTCGTCGGCGTGATGCTGCGCTGCCTGCATCGTGGGGGACGCGTACGAGGTGAACTGTTGCTGTTGTTGTTGGAACTGCTGTTGTTGTTGCTGCTGCTGTAACGCCTGCTGATGCCTCGGCGGAAGATTCGTAACGTGAGATTCACCGTCGTCGTCTTCGTCTTGGTCGTCGTCTTCAAAGTCCTCCACGTCGTCTTCCTCGACGCTCGAAGGCAGCTCTCGAGCAGCACGTTCCGTCACCACGCGTCGGGTGCTCGGCGGTGCCCGAGCGCCAGACGGTCTCCGGCCGATGCCAGGCCCCGTTCCTAACTTCTCGATCGCCGCCACGCGACTACCCCCGCCACCAGCGCTACCAACTATGGGTGGCGACCGTGGCGACCTCAGAGCCTGATTCTGATTCTGATTCTGATTTTGGCGTTGCTGCTGCTGCTGCTGTGGAGACAGCGGCGATCCCACACGTAACGGTTTGACGGTATTAGGTTGCGCGGAAGAAGGAACGGGAGGTGTCCCCGGATAATCAGAACTCGACGAGCTCGACTCTTCCTCGCTGTCTTCGCCGATGGGGGGAGGAGGACCGGCCACTGCTCCTGCCCTGCGAGCTTGGGGCTGCTGATGTTCGGGGTGGAATTGTTGCATGTAGTATAACGCACCGGCTTCCTCGAAGAGACCATGATCGTCGTCTTGTTGTTGCTTCGAAGGGACAGGAGGGGGAGGGGGAGGACTCGTGGGCGGTGGTGCTTGACGCTGTGGTGGATATTGCTGCTGCTGCTGCTGCTGCTGTTGACCGCCCAGACTGGAAGGAGAAGTCGAGACCGAAGACGCAGTCGTCGTAGCTGTCGGTGGCGGTGGTGGAAGCGGCGCATTCACATTCGCATGATGCTGATCCCTCGGCGCAAGCGGCGACCCAGGCATGCCCGCAGGATAAGGCGGCATAGGTAACGAACTCCCGGACGCCCCCGAATTATGTGTCCGGATCGAGAACGCCGTGCTGCTCGGCCTCGGGTTCGCGCTTGAGTTGGACGAGGCATGATCCATCATCATCGCGCCACTGCCCAAGCCCATGAACGACTCGTGGTGCGTATTATCCGTCGCAGAGGCGGAGTAGGGTGAGGTGAGGAAAGACATCCTGCTGGGCGATGACGATCTATCGGGAACTATGCCCATACCCATTCCCATTCCAGAGCCGATCGAGCCTTGACCTTGTCTCAAAGACGAAGACGCAGGAGAAGTCGAGCGGAACGTGTGCTGAGATTGAGGTTGATGTCCTGGCTGAGGCTGATGAGGCTGAGTTTGTGGCGGCTGAGAATACTGCGACGCAGGCGATACAGGCGTAGCGTTGCCCATCGACGCAGAGGACAAAGACAGCGACAAAGACATCGAACGGCTAGCTGAGCCTGGGGCTTCAGACAAGGACGGAGGAGGGGGCGACATCGGGAGCGCGATACGAGCTGGATCCGGACCTGGACTGGACGGTTTCCCAGCACTGGGAGAGGTAGAGCCCCCGAACGAATAACCCAACCCAGAGCCCGCACTCGTCCTCCGCACAGGCACGAGCGGCTCATTCACGTTCCCGCTCGGTCGACTGCCCGTCATCCTCATCTCTCCGTCAAACATCGCCATCCCCGGTCCCGATCCGCGACTTGTGCTTCGTTCGTGTGTCGCTCCTTGTCCTTGTCCTCCTTGTCCCGCCCCACCTCCTCCTGACCCACCTGCATTGGCGCTACCACCACCAGATCCATACCTCCCCGCTCCTTCCGGCGACCTCACCTCAAAATGCGAAGGCCGGCTATTCGACCTCTCCGGCGTATTCCTCTCCGAAATCGGCGTCAGCGGCGCTTGTTGCTGCGTTCCATGTCTTCCACCGGCACTCCCAGATGTATTGAGGTGTTGAGGTTGTGGTCTTCCAGGGCTGGAAGTGGAAGTGATCGAATCGAAACTGAGAGGCGGGAGTTGTGGCAGCGTCGACCCCGAGCCGCGCGCGTCCACACTTCCTCGTCGGCCTGGTTCTAAATCGTCCATACTCCGTCGTCCCGCCCCGGCCTCATCATCGTCCTCGATACCCGGTAACGGCGGAAGTGTCGGCGGTGCGCTTGACGTTGCTTGTCCCAATCCCGATCCCGATGCAGATGCAGATGCAGATGAAGAGACCTCAGGGACGCCCATGATCGCCTTCGTGCGTTCTTGTAGGATCTCGAGGAGACGGCCGCGCACGGCGGAGGTGCGGTCGTCTCGGGGGTCCATGTTCTCTGCGTGTTCGCGGTCGAGGAAGAGTTGCTGTTGCGGAGAGGGGGGTGAGGAAGGGGGGAAGGGTCAGTGAACGTGAATGTGAGAGTGAGATGAGTGGGTGAGAGAGAAAAAGGGAAGGGAGGACGGAGTTTTGCGGATGTGAAGGGAGACGAATGGAAATGTGAGATGGGTGGGTGATAGAAGGAGAGAAAGAGTTAAAGTGAAGGGGGGACGGGCGACGAAGGTTAGTGGACGTGGATGTGAGACGAGGGAAAGTGGATTTGAAGGTGAGATGGGTGAATGAAAGAAATAAGTGAAGGGAGGGAGGACGAAAGTGAGTGGATGAAATTACGAATCAAGGGGATCGACGTCAGCGGACGTGAATGAAAGACGGATGGGTGAAAACAGAAGTGAAGGAAGGGGGGGCGCGTGGATAGAATTATGACAATAAAGCAATTAGGGAACGAAAGTCAATGAATATGACGAGGGTGATGTACGAAAGCAAGCAAGCTCCCAAACTCAAACTCCCAAAAAACCCCGCAAAAAAAAAAGGAGAAAAGACACTCACATCCCTCCCCGGCCCAATCGGATACGCAAACATCATCGAATTCACGTCTCTCGGATCCCACGAATACTCCCCCGGCCTCCCATAAAGTCTAAACGCATCATGTATCCCTATTCACAAATTCCCAATCCCAATCCCATCAGCTCATCGAACATCCCTTTACCCCACAAATTTAGGTAAATGAAAGGACTCACCCGTAATCCACCTCAACATCTCCCCCGCCCCTCCTCCCGTCCCTCCTCCTCCTGCACCCAACCCACCCCCTCCTCCCCCTCCCGCCCCCGCACCAACCCCCTCCCCCTCCGGCATAACAAGCACCCACCCCTCCCGCCCTCTCATCCCCCCTCCAACCTCCTCATCCCCCAACACCCCCTCCACCTTAACCAACGTACTCCTCGCGATCAATTCCGGCCGTTCGGGGTATACGGCGAAAGCTTGTGAGACTTCGGTGAGGCTAAGGACGGGTTTTTTGCGGTCCCGGGGTTTGGGGGAGAGGTAGAAGAGGAGGGCGGGTTTGGGGGGGAGGTCGTTGGCGTGGGAAGAGGAAGGGCGGGAAGAGGAAGAGGAGGAGGGGGTAGGGTCTTGAGGATGGGGATTGGAGCCGAAGAGGTTGGAGAGGCGGCGTTTGCGGGATTGGGAGGGCGAGGGGGGGCGGGGGTTACCGTTGCCGTTGCCGTTGCCGTTGCCGTTGCCGTTGCCGTTGGTGTTGGTGTTGGCGGCGTTGGGAGTGGGTGGAGAGGAAGAACCCTGGAGGACAACCATCCAAAGCCTCTTCCAGTCCGTTTGGCCTGCGATCCGGATACGCGCCCAGCCCTCCATTCTGCCCCTCACGAGCGGGGTCGGCAAATACTGGCTCGCTACCACACCCATGCAACATCAATATCACCACATAACCCCTCCCCCCCAAAAGAATAACAAAAAAAACGCACCTTCCCCATGCGCGATCCTCATCAAATGCGCCGTATATATCTCCTCCAACCTCGACTTCTCCCAACTCGCGAGCCTCAGCGCGGTCGCCCACGAGATCAGCGCCGCCGTCGACGGACAGGAAAAAAGGAGGAGGTTCGAGCCTGCGCTGTTGACTGTGACTACGTTGGTGTATTTCTGGGGAGGGGAACGGTCTGTGGCTGGGATGGTGACGGAGCCTAGGACTTGGACGAACTGGGATGGAAAATGGAAGGAGGGTGGGTTAGAGTGGGTTGGGAAGGGAAAGAACAAAGAAAGAGGGAGGGAGAGAGAGAGAAGACGAAAAAGGGAGAGGAGATGGGATGTATTTTTGAGCCGATGTCAGGTCGGTACATGGACGAGGATGAATACATGGGGTACTATCACATAAAGAGTGATTGGTGGGGTAGTAGTAGTCTTCAGCGCCCTACCCCTTCCTTCGACCTGCCCACGTCTACGCACACATATATTAGAGCACTGGAGGCGCCTCAAAAACCCCCAACAGCACAACAGGCTCCAGTCCTATGCCTGCATTTATCTGGAGAGCAAAAGACCCGAAAAAGCGTCCAAGAAGTGTGAAGTCCAAAGACATCGCGACCTCATCGAGCTAACATGTGCGCTCAACCGACCCGCAAACGATCCATAATTTATGAGGGGAATGGGGACTGGGGCCCGATGCTGATGCTGATGAGCGCCACGGTGCTGACATCGCAACCGTCGAAGGAGGAATGAATCCCAACCCGGATTATTCTTTTGACTCTCGCATTGGGTGTGCGTGGAGAATTCTCCGCGAAAGCGGAAAGTGTGAGGCTGCAGAAATATGAGTGCAGAGGGCGGAAGACTCGGCAAGTGAAAGTACTAAGTAGTGATAGACGGCTGGGCTGATGCCGGCTCCAAAGGTACAGTATATGAGATAATCAACGCAAACCCAAGGTCGATACGACAGGTCCTGCAAAACACCAGAACTCGACATGCCTCGCGAAGAAAATGTGTAATCAATCCACGTCTGGGTCTGGCAGTTTGTCGGTCTCGTCCAGGCCAGAAACCCAGTGCCCAGTATTGATGTGATGAGTTCTGCGAGACGCGGAACGTGCAGATGACCCGTAGAAATTGGGATGCATGGACTGGCTGGTTATGTCTATAGGGCTGCCCTACGTCTGTTTTGGACCGACCGGCATCAGGCGTAGAAGCAACTGTCGGCGACTTCAGAGGTATTTGAGATGATCAGCCCAGGATTGATATCATGAGACCTGCAAAGACATAGAACTCGATATGTCTCGTGAAGAACTGTGCCTCGCAGGTAGCGATCTCCTCCAGCCCAGAAACCCGAGATAATCGCAGGCCGAGAAAAGGATGATATGATGGGTTCTGCGAAACGCAGAACGAGCAGATGACCCGTGTAGATGAGCTGCAATGAGCTGGCTGGTCTCAAGTCTATAGGATTACCCTATACTTGCTGCTGATGATCTTTTGGGCAACAATCGGCTGGGCTGATGCCGACCCGACCCCAGACTCTGCGAGATAATCAGAGGCTCTGGGAGACGCAGAACCAAGGACAAGATATGGACTCAAGTCCATACGAAGCAGAATCTCCCAAGTCGCACGAAACAAAAGACAAAACAAAAAACTCACAGCGTCCGTGATATTGATATAAGTAGGCGGAACCTCCGTCCCCTGCTGCCTCGCCTCCTCGATCTCCTGCATATCCCAAATACTAAACGTAGTCCCCCCAAGCTGTCCCCAGACCTCCCTCCACCCTTCGTCCTTCGTCGGTCGATGACCATCGGGCAGCCGTTCGATCCGTCGTACGAGCGGACCGGAGTGATAGATCTTGTGTGCGTGGGCTACGGTGAGGCCGACGACGGAACGAATCTCGGGATGGAGGGGGGGTGGTTGTTGCGCTGCTGCTGTTGGACGTCGGTCGATGGAGGTGCGCGAGGTGGGTTGGATGTCAGGGGCTTTATTATTATCGCGCGTGGGGATCCTGCCGAGTTCGTCTGTTGTACCTGCTCGTTGAGTGGCCGGCCTACCGACCTGGAGGGACTGCGAGTGCTGATGGGTGCTGTTTCCCTCGGATGTGTTTCCATTAGAAGACGAGCCCTTGCCGAGGAAGGTGGAGAAGAAAGAAGTGGAACGGCCGTGGGCTGGAGGCTTGGGTGGCGTCGAGGATGTGGAGGGGAGCATGTCTGAGGAAGAGAAGTCCTTGTTGGGAGTGTTTGGAGAGAGCTGTTCTGCCCTGCGAAGCTGCTGGAGCTGGGCAGGCGAGATGAAGGGCCGGTTGCGGGAGTCCCAGATTGGGGATGTGCTCTTTGGGATGTCGCGCGCTGGCTGCAGCTGCTGGGCGGACATCGTCGTTGGGAGCACCCTTGCAAGGCAGCGCCTGACCGCCCGAAATAGGAAATCCGCATGACGTCCCTTGTTTGCCTCCGTTAGGCGCTGGTGCTCGCCCTCAATATCTCAGACCCCCTTCGTCTTGCCTGCCATCTCTGCCCAGCCATTAACTTTGAAATCGTTCACTGACATCGATATAACATCCCGCTCATGATCCCGCCCTCTGATCCTCATGTACATCGGCGTTTCCAGTCGCCCAAATAGACCTCCGGATCGGCTCCCCCCTCGCACGGCTGCAGCAAATTTGATGGTCATATTTGTGGCTTGATCCGCTGTCGACAAACGTTGCGAGGACTTGACATAATTCGGAAACGGTCTCTTCGGATCCGTGTCAGGTAACGGCGGGTTCAGAGAGTACGTACGTCTCAATAAAAATCTTTTATATCATGTACACTTCAACGGTACATATAGTTACGGTAGGCGGGACGACCGCAGTTCGATTTGAGTTGACGCGTCGAGCTTTCGCGGTGGCGCCACCCTAACCCTGCATCCGGCTTGGTCCGGGCTCACTTCACTGGGCTGTTACAGCGTATCTCTGACACGTAGCGGCTTCATGAGCTCCATGACAGATCGGGCTGTACATACTGAGTGTAATGTGAATAAAAAGGGAGTCCCTGGAACATCTTAAGCATTTAATATGATTTTCTGGAAGTGGCAGGCAACGTGGGAAGCTCAGCGGGGCAATCAAGGGTGGCTTGCCCAGCCACAGTTGGTGCATCTTGAGCTACAAATTGTTGACAGCCTCGATGGGCAGCATAACACATGCCATGTAAGTATTAGTAATTCCATCAGCTGCTCAGCTTGATTTTGAGCAAGATAGCACAGTATTTCTCTCTGTGTACTGTACTTTTTCAACCAAAGGTTCATCAAAAATGTACGTCACCCATCAGTTTTGCCCGGGTCACGGTTCAGAAACTGTAAGAAACCGTGTGTGAGCATGACGGGCCCCATAAATGGTTCAGTCTGTAAATGGATGTGTCACGTACGGAGAGAACAGCCAA